GGGGGGGGGGGCGGAGGGCGCGGCAGCGGGCTACCTGCTCAAGTTTGCATCATCACGCTGTAGTCGCGCTGACGGGGCGGGCGGTGTTGCAATGGATCCCCCTGGACCCTTCGCCCATATGGTCGGCCGCCTTCAGAAACCCAACTGCAGGTCCATAGCACCCAACTGCAGCTCACAATGCCTCTTCGGTACTTCACAAATAAGATTCGAGACTACGGTGGCCAGGCGGTGGTGCTGCACACGTCTCAAGCACTGCAGCGTTTCAGGGCGCTGTTAGACATCGTGAGCGCAGCAGGCCGCAGGCAAAAGCCGGGCGTCTACACAGGTGCGCGAGCGCCTGTGGCAGCTGGTCGACGGGCCCCGCGGCGGTGCCTGCAGGGGCACCCCTAGCTGGCCTTTTCACCAGTTTCCTTAGGCCATGTAAAGGCAAATTTAGTAGGCTCTACTGCGCTACAGAAACTGGGTGCTGGAACCGCAGCCATATAAATTTGTTGAGCAGGCCTGCTCAACTTCTCAGAGTCCTGCTCACCCCTTCAGGCGCTGCCGGCATTGCCTACTCCCTGTGGCATGCCTCACGACATGCCCCCAAGCTGGCTACCGTTGCATCAGAGGAGGAGCTGGTGGAGGGCGCAGAGCGGTTAGCCCGAGACGCGCTGGAGGCACTCGCTGGCCAGTCCCCGGACCAGCACGGATGGTCGCTGCTGGCTGGGCATGCTGGTGTTTATTGCACCGCGGCGCTTGTGCTAGAATCCAGTGCACATTTGGCGGAGCGCCGCGGATGGCATGGGAAGGCGGCCGTTTTGCGGCACGAGCGGCAACAGGCTGTGCACCAGTTTGTCGGCCTTCACGGCCTCGCCTGCAGTAGCTCGTGCCAGGAGGATGAGGCAAGGGAGGCGGGCTGACTGAGCTTGCAGCACAGTCTCTGCCAGTGTTGCACACCCCTGATACCACTGGTCCAGCTCAATCTTTCACCCTACCTCAACTGCAGGTCCTTTATGGGCGCAGTGGGTACTTGCTTGGGTGCCTGTTACTGAACAAGCACTTGCAGCCTGACAGCGTGCCCAGGCAAGCGATGGAGGAGGTGGTGCGCTCCATCATCGCTTCAGGTGAGCGGGGGCCATGCGCGCTAGCAAAGCTGCCACGCCATTTCGCACCAACAACTGCATTCAATCTCGGGCCTGCATTGGCTGGGCATGGCAGGTGCAAGGCGCTTGCTGCATGCGCGTGGCACGGGCGCAGGTAGAAGCCTGGCCGGCCATCTGCGGGAGCGGGCCCCCTGCGGGTCCCCTTTGTTTTTCATGTGGCCGCCTGGCCCTGATGCCTCACCTTACTTGGGCGCAGCACATGGCCTGATGGGTGAGCCTCTGGCTGCGCCCGCTTTGCCGCAGGCCGCCGGCTTGCAGCCGACACGCCTTGCAGCCCGCTTTACTACACATGGCATGACAAGGCGTATGTCGGAGCTGCGCATGGGATGATGGGTGGGTGGGGATGGGCCCCGACTCGCTTCAATTGCAGGCCCTGCCGTCGTGAATTGACCACGTGCACTCTTGCCATGCACTTGCCGCAGGCATTCTGTTTGCACTGCTGCACGTGCCTGAGCTGGTGGCAGCGGTGCCAGGTGCCCAGCGGGACGTGGAGTTGGCTTTGCAGTACATGCTCTCGCTGGAGTGCGACGGCGAGGGCCGACCAGGCAAGCGGCATGGCACCTGCACCCGCTGCTGGACATGCGCCTTCCAAGCCGCGGTGTGGCTGTACCAACCTGCAGGCCCCCACGGCCACTACCCAACACAGATGGGACCGTGGCGTGACAGAGAGCCACTCGTGCACTGGTGCCACGGCGCCACAGGCAAGCTGGCAAGGGCAGCATGCACGGCACTCTGCGGAACTTAGGGCCTTCAGCCTATGTGCGTTGGTGGCATTCCAGGCAGCCCTGCCGCCTCATTGCAGGCGCCGTGTTCCTGCTGTGCAAGGCGCATGAACAGTTGGCGGACCCCACCTACCTGAGGGCCGCGGAGCGGAGTGGCGAATCGGTGTGGGAGCGCGGCCTGTTGAAGAAGGGGCCAGGTGGGCATCAGCGCCACCTTTCCAGTAGCACGCCAATTGGGCCAACACCAAACTGCCCAACCTGTTGATTTCAGGCTCCTGCCATGGCATCAGCGGCAGCGCATATGCCCTGCTGCGCCTGTACCGTACCACCGGTCAGGACAAGTGGCTGCATCGTGCACTGAAGTTTGCAGAGTTCATGGACAGGTGAGCACCAGTATGTGGGCAGGCCAGCGAGGATGTGGCCAGTACTGGCTTCTTAGCCTGCCGCATGTCCATTCCCACGCTGCGGCCATTCTGCTCTCACTGTGTTGCTCTCCAGCGAGGAGTTCACGGCGGGGGCCCGCACACCAGACCACCCACTCTCTCTTTTTGAGGGGTGGGCTGCCACCCTGTGCCTGTGGGCCGACCTGCTGGGAGGCCCGCAATCTGCAGCAATGCCAATGTTTGAAGTCTGATGACATGCGGGATTTGTTGGCCCAAGACACGAAGGCTCTGCTGTTGTTCAACTGAATGGACTGACCGACTGGCTCGCGGACTGGACATGTTCATGTCTCCTGATGTTTGCATTCCCGATCTGCATTTGGCACAGTGCCTGCCGCCCATGGAGGTCCCGTCTCAAATCATGTAGAGGATCTGCATCAAGTCTTGCCAACCCTGCTGCATCGATGAACTCTAGCATGAACTTTGATAGCCTGCATTCTGGGCTTGTCCTTGTTCCACACGAACATCAATGTGTCTCATCAGGATGTGCATCCTGATTGCTTGCACAAGCAATGGATGCAGGCTGCATGAAGGGTGCGCATTGCAGCTCATCAGCATCGACGCGCATGGCACCACTGTGCATCCAGGAAGCAACATTTCAATGAGCCCTGGAGGAGACAAAACAGCAGAAAATCGCTGGCCTGCTCCATTGCCTACGGAGGCCCTAGGGCCGCCTCCGTTTGAACAATGGTGGTGCAGTGAAGTGCTTGACAGGGCGCCAAACAAAAAGGAAGGTTTCGTAGTACAGTACTGCCACACTGCACTGGCGTGCATGAAGCCTTGTTGTGGGCCCGGCGCGGACAGCAGTCCGGCATGCATACTAGATGACGTGATTCCGGGACTGTAGGTCACTGCTCGACGGCCATGCTTGGGCTCAAGAAGGAGCTCACGCTGCTCAGTCATTCTGCTGCCGAAGAGTACTATGATGCGCTCAGCTCGACGCCCGTCTCCCGAGGTTGGGTGGCCCGTTGTCTGCCGAGGGGGTCGCCGCCCGTGCCCCCGCTGGCGCCACCGCCGCCACTGCAACTCCCCAATTGCCCCGCCTTTGCAGCTTGCGGGGAGCCTGCAGAGGGGGAGTGGCTGCGCAGCAGCGAAGAGGGCAGTCAGGCGCACAAGCTGGCATTGCATAGGCAAGGGTGCCGCAGCACGGGTCCACTGTTGCTGGCACACGGGGTGGGGGATATCAACTGTCAGGCACGCCGCACGGCTGCCATTCCATGCCACGCCATCAGCAGGATCAATGTTTCACGCAGGGCTGCGTACGATGGCGACCTGGAGGAGCTGCGTCGCCTGCTGCCGCGTTTGAGCATGAGGCAGAAGCTGCAGCTCGATGCGCAGGGCAACACGGTGCGTCGCCAAATCTCCTGTGCGGATGCAGGACCCATGCCGCTGATGTTCCTTCACCGTCGTCATGCGCAGGCCCTGCACTGCGCTGTGCTGCGCCACCAGCACCATGCCATCGAGGTGCTGCTGGACGCGGGGCTGCCGGCAGACTCGAAGAACGAGCGGCAGTGGAACCCCATTGACGAGGCGGTGGCGCTGCAGGACGCAGAGGCCACCAAGCTGCTGTATAGGTGCGAGTGTGAGCAGGGGCAGAGACGGAGGGGGCAGGGGGTGCTGGCTGGTGGTTCCATCCAGCAGGCAGCCCAGGCGCGGTTGTTGATATCGGCAGCCTCCAGCATTGTTCTTGCCAGCGGCATCGTAGGCTATGAATGCTGCATCGACCCTCGCCCACCTTCCTGCAGCCAGCTGCTGATAGATGCCAAGCGCGCCAAGAAAGAGAAGAAGGCGCAGTTGGTCAGCATCATGGCTCAGCTTCCAGACTTCAAACTGCAGGCAGGGCCGATGAGCCAGCGGACTGGGCCTCTGGCTGCTGCGCCCTTGCTCTCCGTGCCGCTCCTCCACGCTCCGCCCATCGCTGCCAACGGCATGCTGCTGCCTGCAGCTGCGCTGGGAGCTGGGGTCTCAGCTGTTTGGCCTGCTGCTGCGGCGATATGCCCCCGACGACACTTACTTCATCTACAAGGCAAGGCGGGGCAGGGGGCAGGGATGCGCCCGCCAGGTCTCCTGAGGAGGGAGGCTGCCACTGAGCAGCTTTCAGGTGCTTTGTTCACACCTGCATGCGGCCTCTGCCTGCCCGTCTTGCGCCAGGTTGGCAAGCTGTTGCGGGTGGATGGGACTTTGATGGGCCTTGATGATAGGAGCCACAGCTTCATCCCGCGCTGGAAGCGGGGAAGGTTTACCCTGCTTGTCAATGCAGGTGCGGGTTAAAGAGGCAGCGGGAGCTTGTTCTCCACAAACGCTGGTGAATCCCCCTGGCGGAGCCATTGCATGCAGGCGTGAGCCCTACTGCCGCCTTCCTCATTGATCATACCACTCGATCGTACTACGATTTGTATCGGGAGCGCAAGGCGCACCTGAAGGGCATCGATCAGGAGGTGCGATCAGGGGGGACTGTGAGCACCCGCCGGTCGAGACTGGCTTGCTGTCTCCGTGCCCATCTGCCTGCCTCCATCATGTCGCCATGCCCTCCAGGTTGCTGAAATGCTCGCTGAAGGCGCGGGCAAGGTGCGGGTGGGGGAGGGCGAGTTCGTGTTCCGTCCAGTCAAGACCTGGCTCGGCAGGCAGGCCACAGAGAAGGTGGAGGGCTGGGAGACAGAGGTGGGCTGATGGTTTGGGGAGGGAGGGGGCGATCAATTTCTAGGCATGACTCTGAGGCCATGCTCTTGTCCCCCTCGGCTCTTCTGTGCTCCCAACCGCCACATCTGTGCGCCCCCTGTCCCTGTTGGCTGCTGCTGGCAGGTGTACGAGGCCTCCGGCTCCCTGACTGCATGCACCTGGATCAAGGTTCCAGTGGTGGTGCCGCCGGAGGCCACCTTCCACGATTATCTCGCCATGCAGCTGCCTGCAGACGACGTGGCAGAGGTGCCAGCTGACCCGCTGGGTGCACCCCTGCCGGACACGCAGCATCAGGCGCCAGCACCCGCAGCGGCGCCCAGCGGTCTGGCGGGATCAGGCAGCGTGGTGAGCCGGCCTGATGGCATTGGTGCTACTGCACTGGCCCAGTTTGTGCGAGCGTGTTATTGTGTGTCGCCGCATACCCCGCCCTGCGCTGGAGGTCACCACTGGTGGCCGCGCCTGCGCCTTGCGTGCGTCCAGCTCCGACAAGGTTGACTTGCCTCTTCCCGCCTGCAGCACGTGGGGGATGCCAAGCGCGCAGGCAGCAGCGGCAGGAGCGTGTTTGGCAGTGGCGGCGGGGAAGCCAAGGCAAAGAAGAAGAAGACGCAGAGGTTCAGCAGCCGGTGCTGGCTGGCACGGAGGTACCCCATCTCGCTGGTGGAGATCATTCCGCTGCTGGAGACGGTTGCAGCTGGAAACCGCCACTTTGCGCAGGCCGCCGCCTACCTCCGCCGCTTTCCCGAGGCCGAGCAGCGCTTTCCTGTCCGACTGCAGGTGGGAGGGGCTGTGGCATGGTGGGGCGGTGGGCAGGCTGCGTGATGGAGTCTCGGTGGCACAACCCTCGCTGCCCACCCATCTTGACCCTCCCTCCAGGTACCGCTCGTGTGGACGGTTTTCTTGCAGCTAGCGTTCCGCCAGTTTGTGCTGCTTGGCCCGAACGACCAGGCGCTGCAGCCAGGCTTCTTCGAGGTGCGCCAGAGCTGGTGCTGCATCCAACACACTTCACCGCTGCATGAGGCAGCCTCTCGATGGCAGCTCACCCTTTCGCTGCTTAGCTGCAGCTGCCGCCGGGCTACCATCTGGACCGCTTTGAAGAGGGCGACCTGTTGGAGAAACGGGCTGCGCCGCTGCTAGAGAGGATAGACAGCACCCCCGTCACCTGAAATCAATGCGCTGCCTGGCCATGCCTGCACCCGTCCCCCGTTTGCATGCCCTCGCTCCCCATGGTGACTCAGGCCGGCATGCTGTGCCCAGCATGATTTCCAATTGCATGCTTGTCGTCGCTCTGCATGTTGTCCTCAATGCTGCCTTGACTTCCCAAGCTAGGGACCTCCTGACACTGTGCCTACCTCGTCCTGCTTCTTGTGCGGCCCTCGAGCGGGCTCAACCTTGGACCCCGGCTGTCAGCCCAGGTCAACGCACCGAGTCCCATTTGTTCAGTAACCTTGCACTGCACAGCAGCCGGTTTCTGTAACCTGCAATCTGCACTGGTCAAAGCCCCTTGGCATGCTGCTTCGTCCTGACTTCGTGTCAGCAGGCAGGTCATGATGCTCCAACAGAAAGCACCCCTGAGAGTCCCTCCCCCGGCAATTGTATCGTCCCTCCCTGCCCTGCCCACACTTCCCACCATGTCTGCAGCCCACTCCCCGCCCCTGCAGCCCTTTGATCAGCACCAGGCCGGCACCCCTCCCTACGAGGGGCTGTGCGGCGGACTGTTGGACCTGTCCTCCCTGCCACAGGCCCCCCTGGACGCCCCCTACGGGCCTGCCAGCGACCTGGGCGGCCTGGGCAGCCCTGGCCTCTCAGCTGCCGACCTACTGCGTGCCCAGCAGCAGCCCCAGCCCGCCCAGGACGCCCTGCAGCAGCTGGCTGCGCTACAGCAGCAGCAGCAGCTTGCGCAGGCCCTGGCCGCCGAGCCGCTGCTCAGCCTGGGCAACCTGCTGGCGGCGCAGCAGGGCCTGTCGGCCCGCGTGCAGGAGCTGCTGCTGCTCAAGCAGCAGCTGCAGCAAGTGGTGCCTGCGCGGTCCTGCGGCGGCCATGGCGGCATCCGTGGCACCGGCCCCATCAGCAACCCGCTGTACAAGGTGAGGGGCTGACGCGGGCGGGAAAGCACGGAAAGCACCTGCGTGGCAGCCGCCATGCACACCACGAGGGTGCCCCATCTCGGGCTTTGGCAGGGATGCTGGGGAGGGGGGGCTTGGCGGCCCAGCAACGAGCGCACTGAAAGCCTGCCAGTGCTGCACGTGCGGGCACCTCGGATTCCCGCCGCCAGATTGCTTACAGTTTTGTGTGCGTCACGCTCACTCCCGGCTGTTCAATTGTCCCTCTGGCAGACTGAGCTGTGTCGATCCTGGGAGGAGACCGGCAGCTGCAGATACGGAGCCAAGTGCCAGGTGTGCTGCCCCCCCGCCAAAGTGATGACTGGCGCATGCGCATGCCATTGGCCTGGCTGGCTGCATACCAGCTCCTCCATACGACTGCCTGCCTACTCGTGCCTCCCTGCCTCCTGCACTATTGCTGCCCACATTGCCTGCAGTTTGCTCATGGCCGCGAGGAGTTGCGCCCCGTGCTGCGCCATCCCAAGTACAAGACCGAGGTTTGCAGGTGCGCCAGCAGTGGCATCTTTGCCGAACTGGGCGCGGAGCGCTGGCTGCACTGCGGCTTTCGTCTTGGTGCACTGCCTTCACGCCTCTCCACCCTGCCGCCTACTGCAGGACCTTCGCGCAGTCGGGGACGTGCCCCTACGGCACTCGCTGCCGCTTCATTCATAGCACCGCCCCGCCGTCCCCCGCCCCGTTCTCCTCCAGCTGCGGTGTGAACGGCGGCAGCAGTGGTGTGCCCACTGGCGACGCTACCCCCACTGTCGGCACTCCCACCCCACCCATGTGCAACTCCAAGGTGAGCCAGCTGGCACGCTGTGCCGTTGTTTTTTCAATGCACGCGCAGTGCTGGCCTGGAAGGCAGCTTGTCTCTGCTTGCCAAGGTCTCATCAAATGCCTACATGCTCACCTGCAGGAGCCCTCCTTCAACTCCCTGCACGGCCTGGCCACCCCTGCTGCCCACCCCACCTCTCCCCTGCCTGGCTATGCCACCGGCGTTGCCATCCCCGGCGCAGGCAGCCTGCTGCCTGCCTTTGGTGCACCCGATGCCAGCCTAATGGGCCTGCAGAGCAGCAGCATCTTGGGCACTTGCCCCCAGGCTACTGGCTTCCCCGCGACCACCAACACCACCGCCACCGTCTCCACCACCTTTGGGGGCTATGGGCCCATCGGGGGTTTTGCCCCGGCCGCGCCTGCTGGCGCTGGCGACGTCAACATGCTCGCCGCCCTGACCGCGCTGCTGGGCAGTGCCCACACTCCCCCTGCGGCGCCACCACTCGGTGCTGCGTCCCTCACCGCAGCCGCCGCCGCCACCAGCCTGGGACTTGGCGTGGTGGGCACTCCCGCTGGCCTGCCTGCCATTGGCATCAGGTCTGGCCTGTCGGCGGCTGCAGCCCAGCAGCTGCCGAGTTGCCCCGCAACGCCTGTGGGCACCTCTGCCACCGGTGTCGTGCCGGCCATGCGGCGATCAATCTCAGGTGGGCAGCCCAACGTGTGATCTCTTGTCGCTTGTGCTTCTTTCGTGGTTGTCTCCATCCTTCCCACCATGCGCCTTGCCGCCTGCTGCTGCTGCTGCTGCTGGTTTAACTGCTGCAGACTCTGACTCGTCCACCCCCAACAGCTCCAGCAAGCGCCTGCCCTTTTTTGAGCAGCTGATTCGCGAGGACGGCTGTGCCGAGGTAGGCTGCCCTACTGGATCTGCTCTCGAGAACAGTGTTGTGCCAGTTGCCGGCACCAAGATTCCACAGGAACCTCTGGTGAGCAGCCTGTGAGGTTGCTGCAATGACTCGTCGTAGCGGCAAACGTACAAGTCTGCCCTTCCATGCCTACCCTTCTTTACTCGCGCCCTCGCAAAGCTTCTCTTCTGTCCTCTGCCTGGCTGAAAGTGTGATCAGGCGTGAACAGCAGTCCGCCTAATGCCTGCCAGAGCCTGCCATTTGTTATCTTTCAGTCTCAGCTTGGGCTCTTTTCTTGGTACCACAGCCGCCATGCGAATGACCCATGTCTGAGTTTTGCTGCTTCGCCCCGCTATTGCGTCGATATCCAAGCCCTAGAGATGAGCATGCTTTCAGCCACACCGTGCTTGCAGCCACATCATTTGCGCTGCATATCATTTGCGCTGCATATGCGCTGCGCTGTATAGGGATTGCCTGCCCAGTGATTCCTTTCTTTTTTGTCGGTTGTCTACTTATCAACTCATCACGCCTTGAACGAGTCAAACGAGAAATGCATCGGCCCGCTTTTGTTGTGCTAATCTGTTGATCTGAAGTTGCCCATGCAACCAGTATTCATCGTGCTGCGCCTTTTCGCGAGTTTTGCGCAGGACTTTCTTGTTTGTCAGTGCTTGCTGGGTAAAAACACAAGACTCTGATGGGGCCTGTGCGGGAGAGGGCGAACAATGGTGGAGAGGGTAGGACGTTGAAAAATACTGCCGTGAGAGCGCCTCGGCTTCACCGCCCCCCACTCAAGTCCACCCATCCAACTGCAATGCCTGGAAGGGGAAGGGGACAGCAGAGGGCAGGTCAGTGGGAAGGTTGGGCTGTATGAAAGGAGCCACGTACAGAGGGCCTGCCAGCCACCCTCACCCACTGCAAGGAAGATGAAGGGGAAGAAGATGGCCAACAATCCTGCAGAGAGGGGCAGGGGTGCAACCTCATCATGCGGGTCCCCAACTCGTGCGTGCCACGAATGCGATCTCCAGCCTTTTTGAGATGCTCACCGATTTGCGCCAAGGGGTCCTGGAAGGGGCTCTTGCCGTCACGCTCGCTCTGGCTGGTCCAGTACCTGGCGGGGCAGAACACGCACTACGGGTGACCCAGCCGACAGACGCCTTGCCAATCAGCTGTGTGCACGACAGCCTCTCTGCCAATTCGCCTACAGCAGTGCTGCCTGTTGCCCGCTCCCGCATGCATGCGACACATGGCACCGATTGCACCGCATGACGCCCCCCGACTTACTCCTCAGGCTCGTCCTCGCGCCGCAGGGAGCCGCCCCTGGCCGGCTTGTTTGAGCTGTCTGCACCAAACAGAGGCCGGCGCCAGGCGCAGATCAGAAGGCCAGCTGAACATCTGCTGACGCATCACCAGGGCTACTATCTCTTCTCCCAATGCAGGCAAGGTTTGCACTTTCAGCCAGGCGCCGGTTGGTTGCAGGCAGCTGCCGCCACCGCCATCTCACCTCCCAGCGCCCTGGCAGCCACTAGCTGCCGCTGGACGAGCCTCGTGGGCGCAGGCAGGGCCCGAATGGCGGGCCTCCTGGCTGGGCCGCTTGCAAGAGACACAGGGCAGCTAAGGCCTCCAGCTTTGGCGACGGCTTGTTGCATGGTTTCGGCGGCGGCCCTGGCAGCAGATAGAAGGCGGGGCAGCAGATTGTCAGGAGCGAAACGTGAGGCAGTCGGCTTTGGGCGCCATTCTCCTGGTGAGTCGCCCTTTCTTGTCGGGAAATGCTGTCATGGTTTAGACCTCTAAATGCCAGCATTGATCGTAATGCGTGGATGGGGTTCAATTCTGGCTCGGGGGCCGCAGGCTGGAGGACCTCATGGCGCCCCCCGTCCAGTCCCTGTTTATCACCCTGAAGCGCAGCTTTGCGGGGACCAGGGAGCACCACGTCAGAATTCTGCAATCGTTGGGGTTCCGCTATAGGCAGCAGACGGTGGAGAAGCCCAATGTGGCACACATCCGGGGGGCCATAGACAAGGTGAGACCGTGTGGGGAGTTCAGTGTGGGCCCTGAGCGCGGGAGCGCGCCTGGTCGGACGCAGCCAGCGGCAGCGGCGGGTCTGCAGTTGCAGCGCCGCTCTTGCCGCAGGAGTTGCCACAGCTTCAGTCGCCATTTGCTTGCGTCTTTGCACCTCTTAAGTGTGCAACGCTACCCTGCAGGTGCGGCACATGGTGCTGGCGGAGACGGACGTGCAGCGGGCAGCGCGGCTAGCAGCAGAGGCGGCAGCCAGAGCACCGCGGCCACCCATTGTGGTGCGGCACTAAGGAACCGAGGTGGTTCCTGTTGTGTGCCACGCTGCTACTCGACGCAGCTCCGCCAGGGTATGGCAACACACTGACCATCCCAGTCTTGCCACTTGAGATACTCCCATACTCGATCTCAAATTGCTGCTTTAATTGAGCACTAAATGAAATCGGTCAACAGGAGGTAGAACAGTTAGGTCAAGGAGTGGCAGTGGTAAGTGGTCAGGGCAAGAACAGGGAAGAATGGCAGTTCAAGGGGTGTGTGAGCGCCCTGCACCGGCGCATGCGCACAGCAACTGGCGCCAGGCAAAGTACTTATGGTGGTAATCATTCGGTTCTCGCGATCACTCGAACTCTCTGTATGTGGCCAACTCCTTGAGCAGGGCATCTAGCGTGGCATCATCTGGAAACCGATCCCGGTCCTGCAAGGCAGGCGGTATGAACCCCAGTACAAAGCAGCCAGAAAAACTCCGGGATTCTAGAAAGAAGACCGTTGGAGCATGAGCGCGTCTCAGCAGTCAGGCTGGCCTGGGCACAGCAGCAATGGCGAACTGTGCAGCCCATCTGCAGCTCACATCCAACGTAGGCACCAGCTTGCGTGCCTCATCTGCCGTCTCGATCGACAGGTTGGCCACCAACCCCAATTCCAGCTCTGACAGCTGGTTGTGAGCAATCACCCTGCGACGGTACCAGGCGAGCGCATGAATTGCAGGCGTGGGCAGCAGCAGCACAGCATGCATCCGAGCAGACGGAACCAGGCATTACCAAGAGCTCGAGAGGCTGCAATAGCCTCGGAACGGCTGCTGCATACCCAAGCCAGCCCATTCTGCTGCTCCTCTGCTCCTTGGCAGCACCCCTTTGCTTCACCCCATCAAACAACACAGGGAAGCACTCACTCCCGAATCTTCTGCAGCGTGTCCCTGTTCTTGTTGGTGGCAAAGCGACTGGCGTACTCTGCCGCCTTGACCAGCATGGGGTTGGGCTGGTAGTCGGCGTCTCGCTGCTGCGTTCCCTTGACATACTCGTCAATCAGGCATGCGACCTCGCTGATCGTGAGCACCTTGATGTCCTTGTCCCCCAGGACTGCAGCCAGGCAGGGTGGAGTGGTCTCGAGGGGGCTGTCGCCCAGGCCGGGGGAGCGCCTCTTAGCGCTTCCGCAGTGCTGCGGGACGCAAAGGCAGGCCCGACTCACCCTCGTCGTCCACCTTTGCTGGCATCACGGTAGGGGCGAAGGTAGCCGGCTGTCGATGTGCGTGGTTGCGGGCTGTTTGATGAAAGGGCTGCCAACCGTTCGCTGTCGCGGCCGCTCTGCAATACTGACATGCGTACTGCCTGTCTGCGCTCACAAACGCTCCGATCCGCAATCGAGGGTGTGCCTTCAGCAGCCCATGCCACTGCTCATCTCCTCAGTACAACTGCCTGATCGCATTGCACTTGTGCATGCGCAGCTGGCTGCGGGGTGGCAGGACGTGCTGGTGGCAGGACGTGTTTGGGTGCCGGAGCCTGGTTGCTCACGTGCCTCCCCTAGCAATGTGAGTGGCGGGTGGCGGCAGAGGCGGGTGGCAGCGCGTGCGCTGGCCGCCCTCCGCCCGCTGAGGCCATCCCCTACTCCTGCTTGCAGGGCTCCCAAACGCAAGGCTGTGGCGCCTCCAGAGCAGGCCGCGGAGCCAGCTGCTGCAACAACTGCTGGTATTGATAAGAAGACGGCGGCCAAGCCCAAGGCGGCCAAGCGCGTCGCCAAGCCCAAGGCACCCAAGCCGCCCCTGGGGCCTGCATGGGATGCCAGCATGCGTCCGCCACCGCTGCCTGACGGCACCCCTGCGTCTCACATCCTCAGCTGGAATGTTGCCGGTTTGAGAGTGAGATGCCGCGCGATGATGCATCCCAGCTGCCCTGTCTGCTCATAATGGATGCATGGCGCTCTCTCCCTCCTGTTCCCTCCTGCATGTGGCCCCACCGCGCCGTCCCCCTGCTTTCAGGCGCTGTTGAAGAAGGTGAAGGAGGTGGAGGCGGGGACTCGCAACGAAAACATCCCCACACTGGTGGCGCTGGCAGAGGCGGAGCAGGCCGACGTGTTGTGTTTGCAGGTATGCACCCAATCAGCTGCTTGCGCCGTCATCAGCAATCCAGGAAGCGAAGGCCTGGACGAATACACGTGTCCTTGCTATGGCAGGAGATCAAGCTGCAGGAAGACCATTGTGTCGAGGTGCTTAAGGAGCTGAATCTGCCCGAGGGCTGGCACGTGAGCTGGAACTGCAGCCGGGACAAAAAAGGTGAGCACAACACAGCAGGGGAGTGGGGGCGGCAGGCAGGAGGGCGCATGCCGTTCTGGGGTGCTGGCCATGCTCCGCTCTCAGGCAAGAAGCCATGCCCCTTCATCCCCCTGTCTTCCGCCAGGCTATAGCGGGACAGCCATTGTGAGCCGCCAGGCGCCGCTGTCAGTCAGCTGCGGCATCGGCGCAGAGGAGCATGATGGAGAGGTGGGTTGGGGCAGGGAGCAGCCACTCTGTGCTGCTGCCCACCCCTCTGCCCTGCTTGCCTGCCTGCCCTTTTTGCCTGCAGGGCCGTGTTATAACCGCGGAGTTTTCTGCCTTTTACCTGGTGTGTGGATGTGGTTGGGGGTGCTTTTGGGCTGGTGGAGTTTGAATGGCGCGCCCGTGATTCGCACAATGACCAGTTGTTGCAGGTGAATTGTTACACCCCAAATAGTGGTGAGGGCCTGAAGAGGCTTGGTTACAGAGTCGAGAAGTGGGACAAAGGTGACGGGGGTCTGGGTGGAGGCAGATCCTGGCTGGCAAGCCAACTCCCTGCCTTTGTCATGACGTCCTGCCTCTCTCTCGTGCTCGGCTCCTCCTGGCAGACTTCTCTGCCTACCTGAAGCGTCTGGAGCAGCACAAGCCGGTTGTGGTCACCGGGGACCTGAATGTAGCGCCTGCCGAGATCGACATCCACTCACCCAAGACCAATCTGAAGTCGGCGGGTACCTCCCCTTCCTTCCCCACTTTCCCTCCTTTCCTCCCCTTCCCGCCACCTCCAACGACTGCCACCGGCCCACGCATCGTGGCGCCGGCCCCCCACACTGCTGCCTGCAGGGTTCACGCCTCAGGAGCGCGCCAGCTTTGCGGCCAACCTGCTTGGGCAGGGATTTGTGGATTGCTTCCGGACACAGTACCCCGAGGCGGTGGCATACACCTATTGGGGTTACCGGTGCGTTTCAGGAGTGCAGCTCTATTGGCCGCTTGCCTTTGTGGCAATTGGTTCGAGGGGGCTCACCCCTGCCCCACCCCTCTGCATCCTGCAGATTCAATGCACGTGGCAACAACAAGGGCTGGCGACTGGATCACTTTCTCGTGTCGCAGCAGCTGCATTCCAGCTTACACGACTGCTACCACCTGCCGGCCATCATGGGCTCTGACCACTGTCCCTTGGGCCTTGTGCTGAAGCATTAATCGGCACCGATTTAAACACTAGCGGACATGCTTTCCGCATACTCAGGACATGTGACGATCACACATGTGATGGATACAAGAACTCGGGCACCCCCTAAGCTTGGGCACCCCCTGGCCACCCCTACATGTAATGCTCAGCCGCCAATGGCAGCCAAGGGCAGGTTCTCTGGCGAGGTGGAAGAGTCTGGGAGCACAGGAGGCGCCGCGCCGCAGCCGCTCAAGGAGCCTACCATTGCAACTGATAGAGTATCATTAACCTTGAAACTTGCTCCGACTGTCCTATTCTGCTGCTGCATTTTTGCCCGGACGCTGCCACTGACCGCTGAGCTGGCCGCCGCCGCCAGCAATGAATGCCGCGCTCTCAGGCATCTCGTGGCGTTCGCGCGTCCGACATCTTATATCCTTCTTCATTTGTTAGCAAGGGGCGGCCCAGCCACCCCCCTCGGGTTCCGCAAAAGTTTGTGCACTGTACTTTGCCCGCGTTCTGTGGGCGCTACGTGCACTGCTCATTACCCCACTGGCGCAACTGCTTGAAGCAACGGGCTTTGAATCCAGTCGCTCGCAGAGACGCGATACAAGCCGTCTCCCACTGGTGGGGGCTGCTGCACTGCGGGCAAACCTGCGCGTCGTCAGGAGCGACTGGCTGCTTGCCCGCGCTGCAGCGGACCAGCGGGGCAGTGGCAGTGTGCCGTCGCCACCAGGCACGCTGGCCGGTTGACGTCGCCCCAAACCTGGTGCAGTTGCCTCAGTTCTGCCCTGGAGACAGCAACAGCAGTGGGAGACAGCAACAACAGTGGGACTAGGCTCGCTTTGCCTGGTTCGGCGCAGACAGCACACCATGCAGCAGCACGTGCCGCCGCCCGAGCTTGTGCCGGTCCAGCTGACGCTTGGGAGCAGCAAGGGCACATTTCGAGATTGGGTGCTGTGGCCAGTTGCTGTCACAACCCAGGAGGAGCTGGAATCTTTTGCTGCGGGCTTGGTCAGCGACCTGGGCGTGCCACCGCAATTCAGACGGCCCGTAGCAGACGCCATTGGGGCGCAGGTGGCAGACTGGGTTGCCAACGTGCCGCCGCCTGCCACCGGGCCCAGCCCACGTCGCGAGCTCGTCAGGTGCGCCATCTTGCTGGCGTTGCCGCATGCTCTGGTAGGCAGCCAGAAGCATACCTCCTCCTTGCTGCCGCACTTGCAAGTTACACAAAGCTGCCCCGCCGTCTGCTCCCCACCCCACGCCTGTCCCGCTCAGGCTGGACCTGGTGCTGGGTGGCAGCCTGCGCCTGCGCGACCAGTTTTGGTGGGATCTGCACGCCGCAACACCCACGCCCGAGGATTTTGCGGCCGAGCTGTGCGCGAATTCGGACATCGACGCGTGCCACGGTGCCGCGGTGGCCGCCGCCATACGCATTGAGGTACAGCAGCTGCTGCCCTTTGTTAACATGTAGACGTGTAGTGTGATCTGCTCTTCATCTCTATGAGCTGCTGCCGCTCCTGCAAGCCCCCTCGGCCCGCAACTTGGTTGCAATGTTCGTGCATTTGTCCCATGGTACCTGCGCCGTATCCTGTGCAGCTGGGCAAGCTGCGGCGGTCGGCGCCCATCAACCTGCAGCTTCCCATGCCGCGCATTTTGGACACATTAGCGACAGGCGCAGCAGGCGCAGCAGGCGCCGAGCCAGGCGATGCAGATGCGTTGTTTGGCTTGAAAAACGTCTATGCCGACAGGCAAGTGTTTACTGCTTGCACCTATTGCTGCAACCAGTTGCTTGATTGCATGACATCTCAGCCGCCGACTGCCTGTGACCGTGTCGCCTGACAGGCGCACGCTGATGGTGTGCGTGGAACCTGGCGCTATGTGAGTAGCCTGCTGCTCCTTATTCCGCAGTTGCCTGCGCGTACCGGAGGAATGGCACAAGTGGGGCCCCTCGCAGCACCAGCTGAGTGTGGAGGAGGCACAAGCGCTGCAGAAGCAGCAGCAGCTGGTTGTGCAGCAGCGCCAGCAGCAGCAGCTGGCGCAGCGGCTCCACCAGCAGGCTGAGCTGGAGCGTGCGGAGCTCATGGCCAAGCAGAGTGCAGCAGCGGCACAGCAGCAGAGTGTTCAGGGCCCGGCGGCCCAGCAGGCCAAGCGCCTGCAGCAGCTGCACGAGCAGCGACCGCCTGCGCCGGGCGATGGCGAGGTGTTGGGTGCCCGACGGCAGCTGCGCCAGCGCCGGGGACGTGCCAGCCGCCTGAAAGAGCTTCTGCGGCAGGAGGAGGAAGCGGACGAGGAGTCCAACCAAAGCAGCGCCAGCCTGAGCGGCGGCGGCGGCGGCGGCGGCAGGAGCACAGCCCGGGCGGCGGAGGCAGCGGGCGGCAGCACCGCATCCCGTGACTACCTGCCCGATGAGGACTCCCTCATGCAGCAGGAGATGCAGGAGGCTGAGGAGGAGAGGAAGGAGGCGCGGCACCGCCCCTCGCGCCCCCGGCAGCGCCGACGCACAGCTGGTGCAGCGGGCAAGGCTGCTGCGGTAGCACAGAAGCAGCAGCAGCAGCTTCTGCCCACACCGCAGCAGCAGGCCATGCTGCCAATGCAGCTGCCCAGCAGCGGCAGCGCAGGGGCGCCACCATTGCTGGGTCATGGCATGGGTGGCGGCGGAGGTGCGGGGATGCCGCCCCTGCTGCCCAGCGGCAGCGGAGTGGGCGGCGCCCTGTTTGGCAATGGAATGGGAGGGGCCCTGATGAGCATGGGTGGCGGCAGTGGCGTGGTGCCAGTGCTACAGCAGCAGCAGCAGCTCCCGCCGGGCATGGTCCCCACAGGCAGCGGACCGATTGGCGGCGGCATGCCCCAGCAACCGTCCCTGGTGCCGCAGCAGTCGCTGCCGCCGCAAGGGCCGCTGCAGGCAGCGCGGCAGGTGCCACCTGCTGCGCAGGTGCACATGGTGGGTGGCGCCATTGTGCATTTTGCCCGGGAGCTCAACATGAAGGAGGACAAGATCCGGGCCATGCTGAGCCGCACCCCCCAGGAACAGCTCAGCCTTTTCCGCACACTGCACCAGCTGGTGCAGCAGGCGCGGGCGCGGCAGCAGCAGCAGCTGGAGACGGCGGCGATGCTGGCGGCGCAAGTTCAGCAGGGAGTGGGGGCAGGGCTGCCGCCCATGCAGGCGCCGGCGCTGCCACCCGAGATGCTGCCGCCCATGCCAATGCCCTTGCCCGCGCCGCGGGAGCAGCAGCACCAGCCAGTGAACCAGTTCAGCGAAATGTTCAGCGAAATGTTTCCGTTGTGATGGTTGAAAGCATTCACAGCTTTGGGATGCGACTGACGGCAGGCTTGCTGTTGGCCACAATGCCTGCCATATTCCTTCAAGCAAATCGCGATGCACTGCAACAAAGCTTCAGAATCTGCCCGGTAGAGAGGCTGCTACAATCACAGAAGGGAGCACCTGTCGCCTGGGCCCATCTGCCGCCTGCCGCCTTCCATCCAGCTTCACCCTATGCCGTCACGCCTCGGGCTCCACCTCGCCCTTGCTTGCCCCACAGCAAACGTCGTGCTGGTGCCCGTGTTCGCAAAGCTCCCTCTTGCTGGTAGCATCGCGCATCTTCCTGTTCAGATCGGCCTGCACCGGTGGCAGCAAAGCAGTGCAACAGTGGTGCATTCCTTGGGCTCGCGGGCTGCATTCGGTGCAGTGCCGGTCCTGTGTGGGGGCCTTCCATGCCACCCAGCTAGCCCAGCCCAGCTTGCATGCCACACTCACAACTTGCGCCTCCAGGGCTTCCCTCACAATGCGGTCTGCCATTGTCTCGCCGAGCGTGCCCCTGTGACGCACGGTGTGCAACAGGCGCCGCACTTCCTCAGGGTCCTGCAGTTTCTCCATGATGGTGCCCTGCAAAGAACACTGACTGTCGGAAACCAGCTTCGGGACCAGCTGGCACCAGAGCAAGCAAGCTTGCGATGATTAGGCACAGCCTGGTCGGCGGCCACGGGGGCAGCTGAAGCCGCCGGCATGCTGAGTGCGGCAACTGTGGCATGGCCGGGTGCGGCTGCGACAGCTCGCAGCGCATCTGTGCGCAGCACCGGCGTCGCAGCCACCAAGGGGACTGAGGTGGCTGGCAGGGCAGGGCCGGCAACGGAGGCTCAGGAGACATCGAGCCAGCGCTGCTGCATGGCCAACGGCAAGCGGCTGACAGCTGCACTGCTACGGTAGCGGCAGCAAGTGTACCGATGGAACGGCAGCCAGAGGACTTTCAGACCGGTCGCGGCGAGACAGCAGCGGAACGCCACGTCCCACACAACGCTTGCCTGCTCCTGCTCCGTCAGCAGCAAGTGCTCGTCGTTGTAGGTGTCATGTGCATCGCTGGCTGCCCGAGCCTGCTGGCACCACAGGCTAGCAGGCTGGCGGCAAGCCCGCCTCAGGCAGCTCGTCCTGGCGGCAGGGGCGGCGCGCTGCAGCATGGTTGCATTGTGCAGAAGCTTCAGAAGCATCCAAGGCAAACCTGGCCCCTGCTTTCCACTGCACCGTCAGCTTTGAGGAACCCCACAGTGGATCAACTTGGCAGCAATCCTTGGATCACCCTTGTGCCCTTGTGCCCTCAGGTTGCGGGAGTAGCAGCCTCCACTGCCCCTCGTGACCCCCCTTGCTGTAAGCTTCGCACCCCTTCAACTCTCCTGCTGAGAGGGTAAAACCCAGATGCAGGTGCTTCGATGCTCTGCAGTGCCCCGTGCCGCAGTCAGCGTCGGGTGGCGGGGCATGGCAGCAGGCGTCCCCACCGGACCACAGGGGGGGTATAACGAGGTGCCAGAGGAGACGGCCATCCTGGCAGAGACAGAGGAGCAGCATCAGCAGGACAGGGCCAACGCTGAGAAGCTGGTGCACCAGCAGGTGGGCATGGGACGTCGCTGCTGCTCAAATCTGCTGTCCACACGTTTGACCCATCGACCAGCTGTCTGTACAGGAGCTGGGCGAGGCTCTGGCAGCGGAGTCGAGGGAGGCTGCAGCGGTGAGCCGAGATGAATGTGCCTGCTGGACTGGACAGTGGTCAGAACCCCTTGCACACTTGCTCGTTGGTCACATACAAATGCAGGAGCAGCGCGAGGACGAGACGGACGAGGCAAGCCGTGACTCGCGCTCAGTGCTGAAAAGTTCTTACCCAGCAGCAGGATGGACTAAGATGGGCGAGCACCTGTAAGGCCGGCGAGTTTCATGCATGCAACAAGGTATGCAAGGGCAAGGGGAGGGGAAGAGTCACCAGCTCGGATCTGAGGTCAGGGGCGCGGGGGCCAGGCGCAGGGTCTCGCTGCCCCGCCATAGTGAAAACGGTGCGCGCTGCTGATGCAGCTTGGTGTGGAGCAGCATGGCAGGGGGCGCGACCCTGAGGGCGCGTATAGCTGAATTGCACCGTGCCAGCATGCGGTTTATCCCGCCGCAGCGCGCCGCCGCCAACTTGCGCGCGGGGCTTGCAAGCTTCAGGTGCTGGCGCTGAGGCGGTATCACTGCTGTGCACGGCAAGCAGTCCACATGCGCCTGCCCACCGAAGCCGTCGTATTGGGCTGAAGCACGCTCATGCATCAGCAGTGCCAGCCTGGCCAGGTGGAAAGTTCACGGAGGAGCTTGCCAGATATAAATAGCGGCCCAACCCCGCATGTGCACCAGTCATTACCTACAGTTCGCCACACAATCCCTCCCTGCCAGCCCTCGGCACTCCCTCCACCCGGTTCTGTGGTCATCCACTCGGCAACCAAGCGTCATGCTTTCCCGCGTCAGCATCAAGCCCACGGCAATGGTGGGCTCCACCACCAAGTCGAAGACGGTGAAGGGCAAGACCGTGAGCGGCGGCAAGACCGTCAAGGGCAGCAGCGCCCCGGCCGGCCTCACCCCCGGGCAGGAGTGTGAGTCTCGCCGCCACCAGCTGCGCTGAGTCTCGCCGCCCTGCGGCGCCTAGTAGAATGCCGCTGGGCCGCCGATTCCTTCGGGACGCATCCCATGCATGTGACGGCGGGCGGCGCCACTACCACTGCCTGCTTCAGCACCCGATCCCCATGTTTCCAACACGCACACTCACTGCTGTCCACCCATATTCTCTTTCCTTGGCCTTGCAGATGCCCTGACCCTGCCCGGCATCAGCGAGCCCTTCCCCGCAATGTTTGACCCCGCCAGTGAGTGTGGCTTTGCCATGTGACCGCTGGCTGGCTGGTGCAGGTCCCCCTGAGATCAGCCCTCCTCCCCCATGTGTGTTTTACAATCTCGCAATTTCTTCCTTCCATTGCTGCAGACTTCACCAAGACTGCCAAGCCTGCGGTGAGTCTGGCAGATGTGTGGCCTGCCCTCGGGTTCGGCAGCTCATGCCAGGTCACAGGCCAGTGTTGGCATTCCGTTTCTCTTTGTTTCTCATCGCACCAGTAGCTGACGTCCGTCTATTGCCTCCGCCCTTTGTATGCCCGCAGGACATCAAGCGCTGGCGCGAGTCTGAGCTCACCCACGGCCGCGTGGCGATGCTGGCTGCCCTCGGGTGAGGATGCAGATACGCGCAGTCTTGCCAGGCCCAGCATGGCGCCTGCTTCAGCATCTACTCAGTCGCAGCCATGGCCCGTTGGCACCTCCATTGTCCCCGTTCCCCTGACGTTTGTATCCTTTATTTTTGGTCTGCAGGTTTGTTGTTGGCGAGCAGCTGGAGGACTTCCCTGCCTTCATGAACTTTGACGTAAGTGCGCAGCATGCTAAAGGTGTTTGGGTGCAGTATGGTGCGTGAGTGTGTGCGTCTAATCTGTAATGTTTCTGCCACATTGCTTCTGCAGGGCTCGATCACTGGCCCCGCCATCTACCAGTTCCAGCAGGTAGAGGAGGCGCGCCCTCTCTTCTGGGAATCTCTGCTCCTCTTCATTGGCCTGGCTGAGAGCTTCCGCGTCGCCGTGGGCTGGGCCACGCCCACTGGCAACGGCTTCAACAACCTGAAGGCAAGAAGCTTAATTGCTGCTGCGTAATGCGTCCGTTCTTGCTGAAAGGCAACAGGCTGTGCAGCTGTTTGGGTCAGGAGGCAACCTCTTCCAACACGCGTGCACAGATCTTGTGTTGAGGTCTCGCACATGGTAAACAACTCCGCCCTTTGATGGTCCTGCAGGACGAGTATGAGCCCGGCACCCTGGGCTTTGACCCCCTGGGCCTGAAGCCCAGCGACCCCGAGGAGCTCTTTGAGCTGGAGACCAAGGAGCTGAACAACGGGCGCCTGGCCATGATCGGCGTCGCCGGCTTTGTGCTGCAGGAGCTGGCCGTCAAGCGCGGAAGTGAGCACACGCCGCTGCTGCTCCGTACTGCATGCGGCAGTGCATGCGGCAGCCTGCGTCGTTCTGCCCCGCCAGGGGCTGGCCATCCTTCCTTGGCTTGCAAGCTGCTCACCTCCTCTGCGCTCCTCTCCTTTTCCCCGCCTCCCTGCAGTCTTTGAGCACCTGGCCCTTTACCTGGAGCGGGAGGCGATCCTGGAGATTGAGGACCTGGACCCCGCCCTCAACATCGCCCTGCCGACCATCCCTTGAGGTGAGCGATGTGGCACTCCTGCAACAAGAGCAGTGCCTCCTGCAGTGGTGTGTTGCACAAACCTATGTATTCTTGGGACCTGACCCCACCGAGCAACCCCGCGGTCTTGCAGGAGGTGCCGCACCAATATTTACGACCCAGTTCCGAGCAAGAGAGATCCATGATGCTTCCAATGAATCCAGAACAACCGGATGGATCAACCCCACGTCTATAGCGCCTCCCCATTTCATCACACCGCACAGACCAGACATTCTTTAATTCCTTGAATTCAGATTTTGCTCCAGCTGCCGTCCCCGTCCCTTTCCAGGCTAGTGTATCAGACTGTAACAGAAATCAATGAGCGGGACGTGCCCCAGTACAGGCCGCAGCCTAGAGACGGTTTTCTTGGCACACCTCTGTTGCTTCCTGCTTGGCACACCTCCGCGTGGCCGAGGCAGGCAGGCCAAACTAGGCCATGAAGCGCAAGGAGGAGCAGGCTGAGGGCGAGCAGGCTGAGGCCTCGTCTGCCCAAACTCCCAAAAAGGCGCGGCGCCCCACAGACGAAGTGCAGAAAGGACGTGCCAAGGAAGGAGCGGCAATCGCTCAGCAGCAGGCAGCTCCCAAGGGTTCGCCGCCGGGCGAGAACCTGGTACAGTCAGCGCCGCCCACCCAACAGGCGGCGGGGGAGGAGGAGGCGGAGGGAGGTGTGGGGGCGGCTAGCGAGGGCATCGTTGAAGCAGGGCGGATCGAGTTTTACTACAGGTGAGAGGAGAGACGGTGACGCTTGTGTTTGGTGTGCCGGCAGCCAGCGGCCTGGGCTACTCCTGCCACTGGCCTTGTGCAGGCCCAAGGTGGGCAAGGGCAAAGCGGACAGCTTGGCGGATGTGCAGCGCTTCTTCATGCGGCTGCGTCCCAACAAGGAGGGAGTTAGGAGCCGGCTGTGCGTCATTGGCAAGAAGCGCCTGCCATCGGCACGGAGGCACGAGGTTGGTACCGCGGGCCAGGCGCCAGCAGAGCCTGACGGTGTGCCATGCAACCCTTTGGATTGCAACCTCTTTGCCCAAGGAAGTGCTTGCCCTGCACCTGTCAAACTGCCGTCTCTGTGCAGTGATTTTTCGGCTTCGTGAAGTCCAGTTCAGAAGACGCGGAAGAAGTGCTGCATGGCATGGGCCCACAGGCGTATGAAACCAAGACCCGTGGTGTGCCCGGTCGTGGAAAGCCCTGCGCTGGCCTGCTCTGTGGCCTGCTCGCAGCGCACTGCGGGATATGTCTGGTATGCGACCCTACGCAGGCACACGCCACCTGGCCGCTGCTCGAGCACTGGGGCAGGGTACTTATTGCATAGTGGACCGCAAAGACCACACAAGACTGGTATACAGGTAAGTGGTAGGTGTTATTCAGGTGAAGTAAGACCAGAATGTTGGCAGCAGAATGATGGCAGCAGCCTCGCCCAGGCCACACCATTGAGTATGTCGGTGCTTGCAGGCTGGAAGTGCCCGCCACGCCCGGGGAGGCGCAGCTGGAGTTCACCATTGGAGAGCTGGGCAGCTTCATCTTCACCGTGAAGGTCAGGCATGGGCGAGGGCAGCAGGCAGTGCAGGCAGCGGAGCAATGCACGAATGGCAATGGCGCGGGCACCTGCCCGTGTTACCCAAGGTCAACTTGCGCCACGTGGCCTTGTTCGTGCAGAACCCGGTGGGGCGAGGCCCTGATGACCCAGGCCTGGCAGAGAAGGCCGAGTACTCGCCGGAGAAGCAGACGGAGTTTCAGCACTACAGCTGGATTCCCGTTCGCGACACGCAGGCATGCACCACTGGGGTGCAGGCAGGCTGTGGTGGCCTGTGCAGTGCTGCCGCCCTGAAGCTCCCTGCTTGCCTTTTTCCATCCGGGAACGTCCCTCCTCCACCTGACCGCTGGTGCCTGCCTGCCTGCCCAGCTGCTGGACTACCCTCGCTGCGAGTTCCTCCTCGTGGGAGTCAAGGAGGACGAACCGGGGCGGCTGAACAAGGTGGAGCAGCAGCTCGACGAGGCGTCACAGCAGCTGGGCGTCGAATCGGACGAGGAGGAGATGCTGGCTGCGATGAAAGAGGAGATGCAGGTGTGCTCCGCCTCATGCCCAGCCTGCTGCAAAGCGCTGCCCATGCCAAACTCCCCACCCCTTGCCCTTTACTTCTTCAATGAAGGCGGAGAAGCTGGGCATCAATGTGAAGCCCGCGGAGACGGGGGAGATGGCCTGAAGGGGCGAGGTGGCCCGCCGAGCCGCCCATGTTGTTGAACATGACGATCTCGTGCTGTCTGCATAATTGCTTGCCCGCCTGTGGCCACAGATATGTGTGCATGATTGTTAAAAGGTCACGAATGCTCGAGACACCCAGCCAGCGGGGCCGCCAACCTGTCGCCGACATGGCGGGCGGCATCAGCGCAGCGAGATGGCGTGGATGGCGCAGCGAGACATGCTCTGCTCCAACGAGTACTGGGCATGCATACAGCTTGGGGCAGCATTCAGCTGGGGGAGCCCCTTTGAAGCAAACTTTTGGTCATGGTGCTGCCCCCGCTGGGCAGAATGCCGAAATCGAGGTCTAACGAGGACCTGGGCAGGTCCAACCAGCAACCGCAGCAGTTGTTAGCTTCGATACGCAAACAGTTTGGCGGCAACCGCCGCCCCCAGCTGGACGAGAGAAATTGGGCCACGCTCAAGGTCTGACAATGGCGCATCTCAAGCTTTATTTCGGCGTAGGGATTGCGCCGGAGCCGATCAACCTCCTTGCCGCCCCCTACCCGCCGCCCCGTCAAACCGACCTTGCCTGCCGCCGCCGCCCAGTGCAGGAGCAGGCGTTGAAGAAGGCGGCGGATCTGCAGCAGAAGGCATCGCAGTCAGCCAAGGAGGGGGTGGAAGGGGCGCGGCTTGTCGTCGCAGACCTGGCCCGCGGCGATGCCAAGCAGGCAGGCACGCGAGTGGGAGCGGCAGTGGAGCGCGCAGGGGACTCGGCTTTCCTCATGGGCATATCGCGCCTGATGGTGAGAACAGATGCTACATATGTAGCCTACTGGTGAAATCAGATGCAGGTAACTTCCACGGAGCAGTTGGTGTGGTTTGATGATAGCCACCAATACTCCACACTCTTGCTGCACCTCCAACGCCCTCTATTGCTATCTGCTGCCGTTGCCCCAAAATGAGCAATGCCGCAGATATGCATGTATTTTATAAACACCGTGTACGATAGGTATGGGAGCTACCAGTTTACGCAGCAGCCGGAAGTGCTGGAGCGGGCAAAGCGGTGGCCGCAGCATTACCCGGTGATCAGGTGCGGGTGTTAACTGAGTTCAGTGTTTTATTGCTACTCTCAAGTCGTGCCACGCGCCAGCAGCATTGAAGCTTGCGGTTCCCTGTTGCTGACCATCCTCCGACTGCTGCCTTGCCGCTCCGCCGCAGCTTTCCCTACCTGAGCGTCGGCATGCTGCTGCCATGCGCTGTGCTGGCAGCGCTGGGCATCAAGGTGTTGTTTTGCGCTTGGTTTATGGTGGCCTGGGAGGTCTTCGACTCGCTCAACCTCGTGTGGACGCAGGCAAGCGGCGTATTTCTCTCTCCTTTCTTGGTGACTCGTCGTATCCGAAACCGCCTTCTGTGAGATTGGCCCCCTGCTGTGCAGCTCATGATGCTGCTGTTCAGTGGCGTCAAGCCGAACGAGGTGGGTTGGTGCAGGTGGTAATTGAGGACCAGAAGGGGTGGGGCACATTTCTAGCCAGAAGAGGGCCCGGCCTGCATCTACAGCGCCCCCTACATTCGATGCCGTCTGCCTGCCCCACTTGCAGTTGGTGGTGAAGCGGCTGGCGATGATGGGATGCACAGGTAGGGTGGGGCTTCATGGCTTTGCTATGAGCCTGCACTCGCGAGCCGTTGCATATGGCGCTGGCTTCAGCTTCTGTCACGGCACGTGGCATGCCATTCTCACCAACTCTCTCTAACCGCCGGCACCATTTTACTCGCGGCCTGCAGCACTGGTGCTGGCGCACAGCATGAAGGAGCAGCGGGTACAGATCAGCAGCTACGCGGGGCTGCTGCTCTCCGGCAACAGCCGGAAGCGGCAGCCCAGCCGAGCCAAGTCACTGGTGCTGTTGCTGGGCCGCCTGCTCATGGCGCTGCTCTTCATCTATGTGGGCATCACCCAGGCAAGACGACTTGCGGCTTGTTGTTCTGCAGATTCTTGAACAGCTGTGCGACCACCTTGGCAGCCTGCAGAGGCCAGGGTGCGAGCACGGCAACAACCACCTCACTGCTGCTCCTCAAATGGCTTGCTTCTGCTGCCCGCCGCCTGGTCTCTTCCTCCCTCTATGCAGCTGGAGCGCGTGATCGCCCGCGACTTTATCCTCGTGAACCATCTGCCGCACTCGCAGCTGTGGGAGCGGGATGGGCATGACAACAACTGGCTGGTAACTCTTTGCGTGCATCTGGAGGGCTCAGGCAACACCCACTCGGTGCATGGCTGCCCTGCCGGACTTCACTTCAGCTGCGTGGCTGCTGCCTCCCTGCCTCCATTCCTTCCGGTCCCTCCGCAGCTGCTGGAATTTGTGCTGGCGCTGCCTTTTGCTGCTGGCTACAAGACATCAGCAGTAGCACGGATGCTCGCAGCCACGCTAGCAGCGGAGGCGTTGACCTGCTGGCCGTTTTGGACTCAGTGGCCCACACAGAGCTATGCTGCTCACGTCCGTTTGCACTTTGCCACCAATTTGGGGGTTGCAGGCGAGTTGATCACTGCTGCTTCTCTGATGGAGCATATGATAGAGTGGCCCTGCATGCAGCTTGGTGCGTGCATGTATCTGTGGACATGTTGCCATCTGGGCTGCTGTCGCTCCCATCCCCAAGTGCAGGCGGGCTGCTGCTGCTGGCCTCGTTTGGAGCGGGACGATTTACTGTGGACACCTTGCTGGCAGCCAAGAAGAAAGAGTAGCGACAGTGGAGGAGCTCCTACGAGACTGTCCGCGAGCTGTGTTATGTACCGGCATGGCTCGTTGGTACCATAATGATACATCTTGTAGCCGGGGTGTAATGGCGGTGGAGCACTGAGGCAGCACTGTCGCCGAGTGCAGAGCCTGAGGAGGCCCGGGATCCTTGAGCATTGCAAAGCAAATTGAACACACGCATGTCCATGGCCTGCCCGCTCGCCTGCCTGCAGTACATGTGTGTGCTGCCGACTCCACAGGGAACTCCCTTCCCAGCACAAATCACGCGTATTCTCCTCTTTCGCCGTGCATCCCTCATGGCCTGGGCCAATGCCAGTGACGAGTTGCATCGCGTTGCTGGCGGTGGGCACACGGGGCGATGTGCAGCCACTGTTGGCGCTAGCTATCGAGCTGCGGAACCTGCCTGTGAGCGTCACGCTCATCACGCATCGAGCTCACGAGGCATGGTTGCAGGAGCCTGCACACGCAGCGCAACTCCTGCTGCGCTTCATTTCTAGCCCGCCCACCGACGCAGCGGCGGTGGACACCGCTGTGCGGGAGGGGCAGCAGCGTGACGAGCTCATCGCCGCTTGTGAGGCGGCGCTGGGCCGCACCGTGCAACGCCCGTCAGGGCCAGCCGTTTGCGCAGAAGCCTGCAGCACCCGTGCGCTCATCCTGTTCAACGTTTTTGCGTTGGAGGGGTTCCATATTGCCGAGGCGCTGGGCGTGCCCTGCCTGGCAGCCTCGCCGTGCCTGGTTCCATATGCCATGCCGGCTGCCTTTGAGCGCCGGTTCCGGCAGGCGAACCCGAGCCTCTACCAAGCCTTGAAGGCGGCCGACGAGCACCGACAGCAGCCGGTGGCAGGGGCCAACAGCAGCGCAGCAAACATTGGCAGCACTGGCATTGCCGGCAGCGTGGGGTGGGCAGAGGTACGGCATTGGCTGTGGCCGTTGTTCACCGAGCGCTGGGGCGCCTGGCGCCACCACCGCCTGGGCCTGCCAGCCGTCCCATACTCAGACTGCCCACCTGGCGTGCCGCTGCCACCAGCGCCGGCGCTGCTGTATGGTGAGGGGCCCTGTTCCGGATCCTGCTGCCACCTGCGACCATCCGTGTGTTGGTCTGACACCATGATGCTGGCCTGCCTGGCCCCACGCCTCCTGTCAGGTGTGAGCGAGTCGGTGGTGCCCCGGCCTGGCTTCTGGCCCTCCACGGTGCACATGTGCGGCTACTGGGCCAGCATGCACTGCTTCCCAGCCTCCCAGCAGCAGCTCCCGCCCATCATGCGTCTGCTGGGCGAAGAGCAGCATAAGCCAATGGCGGTGGATTTCGGCAGCACGGGACACATGTTCCTTCCGCAACCTCAGCTGCTGGTAGCCGTTCTGCGAGCGGTTGCACAGCAACTGCGACGCAGGCTGCTGCTTCTTACAGGCGGCTGGCAGCCTCTGTTAGAGGCCTGCAGCTGCCAGCCTAGCGAGCCTGCCTGGGTGCTGGCGCTGGAGCGACCTGTGGTGCATGACGTATTGCTGCCGCACTGCGCCGCACTGCTGCACCATGGCGGTGCTGGCACAGTGGCAGCGGCGCTTCGCTGCGGCGTGCCACAGCTGGTCTGCCCCTTGCACTTTGATCAGCAGCAGTGGGCGGAGCGGGTTGTTTGGCTCGATTGTGGCGCCCAGCTAAGCCCAGCGGCGCTGCTCCAGGCAGGCGGCAGTGGAGGGGACGCAATGAGCACGGCAGCCGAGCTGGGCGATGCAGGGCCACGGGGAAGCAAGGAGCAGCAAGAGCAGGCTGTGGAGGCAGCGGGGCAGGCCGTGGCGGCTGCTCTGGCAGGCCTGCTGCAGGATGCTACAGTGCGGCAGCAGTGCGCCGCCATGAAGCAGCAGCTGGCCGGAGAGGATGGGCTAGCGGCCGCCGTGCAGCTGGTGCGGCAGCACCTAGAGCAGTCTGTTGCCGCTGGTGGGGGCGCGATGGTGGGAACCGGTGGAGCGGCGGCGATGCATGCAGCTGCAGCAGGCTCAGCGCGGCAACCGGAACCGCAGGCATCTGTCCCGCCACATGAGGTGTTGGTACTTGACGGCCTGCGGGTGCGCTGCATCTCGGCCGCAGAGGCGCTGTTCATCCACCGCGAGGTTTTCCTGGACGACTGCTATCGCCTGGGCTGCGGCATCACCCAGTCTGGCAGCATAGTTGTGGATGCAGGTAGGACTGTGCACTCCACGGCAGCAGCAGCGCAGTGAAATGCGCTTGCAATGTCCCAATTGTGCACCCTGCTCGCCTTTTTCTCCTTGCTTGTACAGGTGCCAACATCGGCCTGTTTGCTCTGCGCCTGTTGTTGGACCCCCAGCTGGCCCCGTCGGTGCAGCATGTATATGCGTTCGAACCGCTGCCCCTGATCGCCGACGTGCTTGAGGCCAATCTGCAGGAGCACGGCCTGACAGACAAGGTGTGGGGTTGCCTTCATTGTGCGGTGCTCCCTGCCCAGCCACTGGCTCGTTCCTGACATGCCTATTGCTGAGGCTTCTTCACGTAGGTGACTGTGATTCGCTGCGGCCTGCACTCCCACCCTTCCCCCTCTCTCCCTTTCACATATTACCCAGCCATGCCGGGCAACAGCACATTCGCTGCCGCTGACAAGTGGGAGGTGCAGCGCCCACGCATGGCCGCACTTATGGGTCAGGCAGCCGCCGACAGATGCTTCCAAAGTGCCAGCAGGTGGGGGATGGATTTCGAGATGTTGGGCCTGCGCTTGCATGGTGCAGCCACGGGGGGCCCGGATGACATGCCATCTGCTGTTGTTGCCTGTGCACTTATGGCCACCCGGTGTGCCGCTGCATGCGCGGTTGTGGAGAGATGCAGGGTTGAGTGCTCCGTGACCACCCTGGCTGACTTTGTGGCGGAGCGGTGCCTGGACAGGATTGACCTGCTAAAGGTGATGGGCTGCTGTAGATCCTGTCCTGCCTGCACGTCTGCGCCACTCCTTCTAAGGGAGGGGTAGCACGCATGCGAGTTGGGGGTGTTGGCTCCTGCCGCATTACTTCTGCTGCAGCCAACTGTTGCCTGCTGCGCGCGTTGCCACAGGTTGATGTGGAGGGATGCGAGCTGGAGGTGCTGCGGGGATTGGATGCCGCCAGCTGGGCCGCCACCCGCCAGGTGGTTGCAGAGGTGAGATCGAGTTGTAGACGGATTGAGATCAGCAAAGCGTAGAGTGATGCATTCCCCGTCTCAGTCCCAGGGTCCGCCGCACGCTACCTGCCATGCCATGCAGGTGCACGATGTGGGGGGCCGTGTGGCGGCAGTCAGGGAGCTGCTCGAGGTCCAGGGGTTTGCTGTGGATGCAGCTGCTGGAGTGGTGGGGAACTGGTTGCTGTTTGGCAAGCGGACGATGTGAATGTAGCTGTTCAAAGAATTTGCTGAAGATGAGGTGGCAGGCGGCCGGCGCTGATGTGGCGCCGCCTTCGGGTCCATTGGCCCGAACAGATTCTGAATCTGGCAGAACCGGTCGGTTCCCACGATCTAACCCACACCGATCTAACCCAGCCGCCAGCCTCCACACCATGGTACCCGCTTGCGCCGAGCTAGCACCCCAGCTTCCTGCCTCCCGGCAGAGTGTTCTCCGGCTCCACGGAATTCTCCGGCTCCACGGAACTAAACCTCGTGCCCTACCGCGGCCGCGGGCCGCCAGCCGAGGCACTCCACAGAATGCTGCCGGCAAAGGCGGCAGCGCTCCCGCCGCAAGCTTGGACCTGGAGGGCCCGTCCAAGCAGTTGCGCGAACTGCGTGAGGTGGGTTTAGCTATCTAGGCACGGTTTAGCTTTTAAATTGCAGCTTTGTTGTTGCAGCTCAGGAGCAGGCGCCATTGCCCCCTCACCACCTCACTCCGCCGCCATATTCCCTGTCACCTTGCAGGTGTCGTATCTGTCAGGCCGCAGCGCTCGAGTATGCCAGCATTTCCCCCAGGCCCTGGGCGTGGACGACTTCCTGAACCGCGCCGAGGTGGCTCTGTACGCCTTTGGCTTCACCGGCGACAACTCCATCGGTGAGGAAGGGGCGCACTGTCGGCATGCCTGCATTTCAGGGACCTGGATCGCTCCACTGTCTAGCTTCTGGTTAATTGTTTTTATTCACAAAACAAACAAACACAAATACAAAATACAAATACAATACAAATACAAATACAAAAAAAAATACAAACAAAAAAAAATACAAACAAAAAAAAATACAAACAAAAAAAATACAAACAAAAAATTCGTCGCCTCGCAGCGGTCATTAACCTGTGCCGCGACGAGATCACCAACACCTTGAAGACCAAGCTTGATCAAGTCTTTGGGGCTGAATTCAACGTGAATGGCCTCGGCGGGGTCCTAACCTGCGGCGTGACGGGCATGGCGGCTGGCCTCAGGTGAAGTGACAAGCATGCACCCATCATCCCAGTAACCAGCAGGACCAAGGCCCCCCTTGTCTGCCACTACCTGCCCTTGTCTGCAGCCACGCGCCTGTGTCACGCACCTCTGGGAAAGAGCGATACGTGTTCTTCAGTTTCCCCCACATCAGGTGAGCGAGGAGTCGTAGGCTGGTGAGTCTAGTGCGCACAGCAAGCATGGGCCTGGCACGCCCTTCTTTGCAGCATCGATGCCAAGGGCGAGGTCGGTGCCATATCGCGACCGGGGCGCCCTGGCATGAGCTGCGCCTGCGGTGCACTCAAGGCTGCGCTGGTGGACATCCGACGCGACGGGCTGGCACACAACTGCAAGATACCTGGAGGTGAGAGGCAGGGGAGGCAGGGAGGCGGAAATGCTGTCTGGAACAAAATGAGGGTGGTTCATATGCCGTGTGCTGGGCATTGCAACCTGGAATCGGCTGCTGCTCCCTGAGCCCTCTGTGCGCAGTGCACGACGCGCGCGACCCAGAGTACAGCATTCTGAAGCAGCGCCTGGCGCGGCGCCTGCGCTTTGAAGGGGCCAGTGAGGACACAGGTGGGCGCCCCGCACGGTGCCGCGGCCGCTGCCTGGCCTCGCCGCCGCCCACGGTTTCAACGCTCCTGCTGCCGCCGCTTCCCGCCGCTGCTCCCATGCCCTCCCCTCCCCAATGCAGTCTCTGGCATGTCGCTGACCGACATCACGTACGTGGCGGAGCGCACCATCACAGATGACCTCGAGTTCCTGATCTCACAAACCGTTGACCCGCGGCGTGCAGACTACGCAGGTGGGGAGCGGAGCGTGACCACGCCAGTCACATAGGCTGCCGCCCAACCTGCCAGACATCCAGCCTCTCCGACACCCTTCCCCCCAGCTGGCAACTCCCCACTCCTGCGCCCCCACCCCCCCACCCCCCACCCCCCCACCCCCACGGTTGTCCCTCCGCCAGTCATTACGGGGGTGCAGATCCACAACTGGGGCTCTGTGTTTGACGACGAGTCGCCCAACCTGGAGTTTGTGGCCCCCACCTCGGTCTATGCCGTGGTCAGCGGGGAGAAGACATACCTGGACTTCAGCTCCGTGCCGGTGAGCGCCACTGCCTACGTTTGGGCAGGCCCGTTGGGGCCGGGGAGCGCATGCAGACGCGCTCTGGCACTGGCCTGCTGCCAGGGTTGGGGGTGTGCGGCAGGCAGACCGCCTGATCGCCGCCACGCTGCGTCCGCCCCATGCACAGTCGCTGTCGCCACGCCAGACGCGGCTGCTGGCGCGGGCCCGCGAGCGCGGCGAAGGCGGCGGTGGCGGCGAGGCCGCTGATGTGGTCTGCAACTCTGGCGGGCCCGGCACGCTGCTGGAGATCGATGCACCCTACCTTTACAACAGCAAGGAGCAGCGACGGCGGGAGAAGGAGCGCGCCGACACGTGAGTTGTGTGTGTGTGCGCTGGATTGCAGGGAGGCCACAAGCTGTAGTGCCGTGCCACGGCAGCAGGCGCTGGGCAGTCCCGCCCAAACCGCTCACTCCCGCACGCCCCCCGCCGCGCCACTTCCTGCCTTTGCAGGTACGCGGCGCTGCTGGGGGAGGAGGATCTGCACCCGCAGACGCTGTGCCGCTGGCCCGCTTGGCAGTCGCACCTGCGCGCGGGGGAGCCACACCGCGAGGAGGAGGACACCTCGGTGGTCATCGACTCCCAGTTTGAGTCGGGTGGGTGGATGGGCGGTGCACGGGCAGGTGCATCACAGGCTGACATGGACATGTGTGGCAATGGACGGGCAGTGTGGAACCCCCGGTTGGCATGCGAATTGGCCAGGGCTCTGGTATGCACCCCCACCTAGCCGCATACGAGCCCCGCACGCTGCTGCCTCGCCCCCCGCGCTCACGCCTCCATGGCTGCCCTTGCTGCCGCTTGCCATGCTGCAGACGGCGAGCTGGATGAGCTGCTGGGCAAGCTGCAGAACAGGTACATGCAGCCCACAGGGTACGAGGGCAGCGGCAGAAGCAGCATCGGCGGCGGCGGCGGCGGAAGCGCCGCCGGCCCGGTCAGCAACACCTCTGGCCCTGGTAGCTTGAGCACTGGGGTGCCGGGAAGCAGCACCAGCACCAGCGGGAGCGCTGCCCCTCTGGCCCACACTGGGCTGCTCAGCCGCCTGCTAAAGACAGTCAAGGACGCCAAGGAGCGCAGCCAGTGGCGCAAGTAGCGAGGCTGCACAGTGGGCATCCTTTGCTGCACCCACCACCCGCCCACCACCATACCTCTGCTGTGCCAGTCGGCCTGTTGTACAACTGTCCTCTACGGTTGCACTGAATTCTCAGATCTGCATTGCTTGTCCCCCTGATTGCTCAGCCCCCGTTGCCTGTGAACTTCTGTCACTGTACCATCCACCGTTGCCCGCTTACATGCCTGTGACCCCCCCCTGTTGATTTGGACGCATTGCCTGATTGGATGGAGACAGCTTGACTCTAGAAGTACACCATCTCCTGCTGCGAGCTGATCCATTCCCATTCCCAGTCCCAGTCAGCCCGCCAGCTCCCGCTCTACTGCCTCCAGCGCCTGCAGCAGGCTGCGCCCCTCGAGCCGCAGCTGCACCGCCTTCTCCGCTTTGCTGCTGCTGGCGGCGCCCTTGACGTCTGTCACCTGTGGCACAGCCGCATGGGAGGCAGGCGCGTGTTGGTGAGGGACAGCAGGGCTGAGATGAGGACGAGGCCCTGCGCAGGCAAGGCACGCAGCTCAGAAAGCAACTCCGCCCCACCTGCACCACATCGGCGCCTGCTGGCCAGCTGGCAACCAGCCGCACTTCCGCCTCCAGCGCCTGCACGCGAGATGGCAGGCGGGGAGGATTGGTTGCGGCCCGCAAGCAACACCCAACGTGCTCTCTACCCTTGCAATGGCCCACAATTGCGCCACACCTGGCTCAGCGTGGCCCGCAGGGTGGCAAGGTCGGCGCTCTGTGCCACCACCTCATACCCTGCCTGCCGCACCTCCTCGACCAGCGCCCGCCTGCGTGTTCCTAAGAGGAAAGGCATCAGACAAGTGCGCAGTGCATGCCAGGCCATCCAGCGAGGGACGGTGCACCACCACCGCTTCTGCATCCCAATCCCAAGCGGCCCGGGCCCCACCTGCGTGCACCATGCGGCAGCCCAGCCCTCACCTGTGCAGCCAGGCACCCAGCCGCGCCTGCACCTCTCGCACCACAAAGTCGATGCGGCGGCTGCTGCCCTGCTGCGCCCCATCCCGTGCCGCCTCCACAATGTCGCCCACCTCCACATCGGCGGGCGTCAGCTGCGCGCCAGACACTGCACGGCCAAGCGGCACCAGGAATAGTGGCAAGGTGCAGGAGAGGGAAGGAAGCAGGAAAGGCATATCATAATGTGGCAGTCCACCGCCTTCACACCTCCTGCAATCCAGGCCGGCCTTGCCGCCTTCGTTGCCTGCACAACCAGCCCCTTGCCACATCCGCTCCCTGCTGCGCCCTTGCAGCCTCACAGCCAAGCACCTGTGCTGCTGCCAGGCTGCAGGTGCAGCGACAGCTCGTGGTCGGCGGTTGCGCAGGGGCCGGGGTCCTCGCCCCGCACTGCGCCACTTGGGTAGGCCGTCACCAGCTTGAGGTGCACCGCGTCGCGGCTGACGTGCAGCAGCGACAGGCCGCCCAGCAGTGTGAGGGTGGAGGCCGCCTCGTCACACCTGCGGGGCAGCCACGGCGCTTGCGGCACAGCAGTGAGAAGGCCAGAGGTGCGGCAGGCAGGCGGGAGGCAGAAGAGGCCAGGCGCGCTGCTGTGGGCGAGGCAGCAGGGCATGGAAACCCACCACTGCGCGGTTGACAGGAAGCGGGCGTTCACTTCCACCTTCTCCCCCTGCAACAGGCGAGCATGGCAGGAAAGGCACTGGTGGCAGACCTTCTCCCCCGAAACAAAATGACCGCCTCTCTCTGCCCTCCTGGCAGCAGTCGCACAGCATCGCTGGTGCCCCGCACATCTGGGCCCCGCCCAAGCATCACACACGCATCCAGTGGTTCACCCACCCCCAGCACCGCCACCACCAACCTGCTGCGCGTTCTGGCTCTCCAGGTCCCCAAGCTGCGCCCGCAGCGCCTCCGCCTCCTCCCGCTCCGACGCGATGGCCGCCGCCAGCCCCTCCGCCTCTGCCACCCCCGCAGCAATGGCCGCCTCCAGCTCTCGTTCCTGGCCCGCTGCCGCCGCCATCGCCACCTGGCACTCCTCCTCGCCGGGGCCCTCTGGCAGCTCTGGCAGGGCCACCCACCCCGCGCCCACGCTCTGCTGGTGTTGCGCCACCTCCTGCTGCAGCCGCGCCAGCTCCCCTCCCACCGCCGCCTGCTGGCGCTCAAAGGCATCGTGCGCCGCCGCCACCCGCACCACCAGCTCTGCGATCCCCGCCTGCGCCTCCTCGTTGGCCTGCTTCAGCTGGCGCAGCTGCGCCACGCTCGCCTCCACCTCCGCCTCAAAGTGCTGCAGCAGCTCGCCCTCGTCGCCGTGCGGCCTTCCATCCAGCAGTTCTGCGGCAGGCGGGGCGCGGCAGGGCGGAGGGCGGGAAAAGTGGTGGGCGGGAGTGGAGGTTGCGGGCTCAAAGCTGCTGCTGCCTGCCCGCCTGGGCGCACCTGCCAGGAACTCATTCTTGACCTCGTAGTGCAGGAAGGTGTTTTTCAGGCTGCTGAACTGACGCTTGAGGCGGCGCAGGTCTGCTTCGCCCACCGCCTCGGCTTGCTCCGCCGCGCCATCCTGCACCGCAGCAAAGCGCTGCTGCGCCGCGCCCTGCAGCAGCTCCAGTGCCCTGCGCGGGGGGCAGCAAAGCAGCAGGCGGCGGTCTGCTGCTGCCATGACTTTGTCTGTCCCCAGCTGCGGCTGTCGATCGCTTCTGCCCGCGCACTGGGCCGCGGGCTCTGCACGCCGCCCCCACCTGTTGAAGCCATCCACGGTGGGGTGCCTCAGCGCCGCGATGAGCTCTTCCGAGCCCACTGCCCCACTGGCGGTCATGTTTGGTTGCGCTGGACAGGGGCGGCTGAGCAGGTAGAGTGATCTATATCTTTTCGTTTGAGTTGGCTCGTTGAGTTGCTGGCAACCAACTTGGTTGCGTTGGTTGACGTGGCATCGCCTTTCCCTTGCCGCTCGATAGCTAGCGAGGCAGGCTTCTGCACCCCGGTGTTTAGAGATTGCAGGGGGATTCGCAGGGCGAGCAACAGAGGTGCCGCCACTACCGCCACCACCGCCGCTACTGCCGCTGCCCGCCTCTTCAGCGAGAGAGAAAAACAGGCTGTGCAACTTTTTCATGTATGTAGGGGGGGGCAGAATCTGTGCAATGATGTCAGGGGTAGAGGCAGATTCGGCTGCAATCATGCTTGAGCGCAACGTCTGCCAGTGCGAAGGGAGGAGGGATGGGAGCATAGTGAGTGGCAACTAGGGGAGGTGGGGGTTGTTCAGGGGGAACTCGTCAGCACATGCAGATGATGTTGGGGTTTAGGAATTGTTGGCTGTCCAGGACCTGCACCGGATAAAGCCCGCTCACACCATCTCAGCGGGGCGCTTCTCCGCGCCGCTGTTGCCCACGCGGCCGCCGCGGTTGGACAGCAGGGAGGGGGTGGGGCCCAGGGCCGACAGGTTGTCCCCGCGGCGGATCTCTGCAGCAGAGGAGCGCGCCGAGGGGATTTGAGAGGGAACATGGGGCGCTGCCCCCCGTTGCCGGCGGCTTGGGGCGACTGAGGGAACTTTTGCATTTCGCCCCACCTGGCCTGCCCTCTATTGCCATGCCGGCGCGGTTGACCTGGGGGCCGTGCTCGCACAGCGCAGCCACAAGGGGGAGGCTTGAATTGCAAGTGTTTATGGGAAGTGGGTGGTTGAAATCTCCAAAGTTTTTCCTGCTGCGGGCTGTTCTCTCCTGCTGGACGGGCCGTTGAGGCGACCTTGCCCTTTGTCCTCCCCGCCCCGGGGGCGGCACCTGAGATGCGGGGGACCAGCGGCGAACCATGCTTCTGGAAGCCTGGAACATGCAGGGTGCTTGGGCCAGGCACCTTAGGTCTTCCGGTCCACGGCCTGCACCCTGCAGTAGCACACCTGTGCGGCGGTCGGCTCTGATGCGCGCGCACCTTGGTGTAGAATAGGGGCAGAATTTCGCGGCCCCAACTCTCCTCAAACAGGATTGCCATGCCAATGTAGAAGGCAAGCACGGACGTGAAGATGCCCCACCAGCCAGCTGCCTTGGCGATGTTGGGGCGTGTGGTGCCGGCGGACAGCAGGAAGAACATGATGCCTGGCAGGCGAGGGGCGGACAGGAGAGGCTGGCTGCCGGACAAAGGGAAGAAAGCGCTTGACAAGCGGTACGACAGGGCATGAATGCTGCCCCCAGGTCGCTCACCTATCATCAGGAACACAAGAGGCAGTGCGAGATTGTACGCCACCGACACGCACATGAAGCCGATGGCGGCCACGCCAAACAGAGCCTGCACACGCCAGGGGGCAAGGGCAATGCACAGTGGGGCCGAGAGCACATGCATACTGTACCGTGCAAAAGTAGTGGCGCGACATAAATGTGGCGTGAAAGTGGTACCACACTTAGGCAATCACAATTCCCCCCCCCTTGAGCCTGCGCCACTTTTATGTCACTGGGCATCACCGTGACGGCTTCTTGGCCCTGTGGAGAGTCCAGGAAGAAGATGCCGGCGGTGCGAATGGTGCCGTACATACCTGCAGCACCACAGCTGGGCCCAGTAGCATTCACCTGCTCCTTATGGGTGTAACAGGCAGGCAGACAGACGACAGACCGATGGCAATCCAGAAGGCCCCGAAGGTCCCGAAGACGGTGGCACCAAGGGTGTTCCTTCGGAACATCTCCAGGATGGCAACGATGAGCATGGTGAGACCGCCGAAGCAGATCCCCAGCGGGAAGCTCAAAACTGGGTGGGAACGGGCAGGGCAGGGAGGTGCAGGCTTCGGCTGTGTTGGTGAGACCGCCAGCTAGCAGATTTTTAGGGGATAGTACAGCGGCGCCCTGTACCGCTGTACAGTGCCACAGCGGCGGCAGATCATGCTGGTTTGTTTTCTTGCATGCTCCTGTGCTGTCCCCCCTCCCCACATACCCAGCAGGCTCTGGGCCCGCTGGGCTTCCACCTGGCGCTCAGCGGCGACACCGCTACTGTAATACAGCTGGCAACTCACACTGAGTGGCCGCCTCTGTCAGGCCGGCCTGTGACGTCATGTAGAGGGCAGTAGTCAATGAAAAGGCAAAAAAGCCGAGCGGAGCAGGGTTGGCGCAGTCCACAGCATGCTGCAGCATAGGACAGGGGCCCCAGATCCCGGGGATCTGTCAGCAGCTGCCTGGGGCGAACGCCGGCGCGGCAGCAGCTGCCATACCACTTACATAGACTCGGATGTAATGTCCCGTTGTGTGGCGCCCCGCTAGATCGTGGAGGCGGTCGATGCGGTCAACAAGCAGGGTCTGCAATCACAAAAGAACAGATCCAGGTTGGTTTGACCCAGGCTGTCCCCATGATCTGAAACATAGAACACAGAGCCAGGCTGAGTTCAACCCAGCTTTCACGCATAATCGACACGCAGATAGAGAACTGAGTGGTAGATTTCAGCATCATTTCAGCAAATCTTTCAGATTTCAGGAAGCTCAGGCTGCAGCAACAACCCGCGCGCCGCGCCGCCCGAACGCCGCCGCCGCCCTTTCCCCAGCTCCAGCTGCCCTCTCCTCACCAGCGCATCGGCCACGCCCCCCATCCCATCCTGGCCGTAGGGTGCCGAGCGGGCTGCCACGCTTGAGGGGTTGCGGCTGGGTGGGGCATAGGCGCTGGCTCCACGCTCCTCCACAGCATACGAGGGGTTGTCTGTCACCTTGGTCTCCACCGGGCTGGCCATCCTGGTTGGGGTTCTGCTGAGTTAGAGCGAACTAGGTTGAAGCTCCGATATCAGAGACGTGAGAAGTCCTGTCAGCAGTCAGAACGAAGCACAGGCAGTGATGAGCACTAGTTGTGGGGGTGTGCAAAGAGAGGGGAACGAAGTGGCAGGCCTGCCCCTAGGGGCAGAGGCCGCGGCAGCTGCCGAGTGGATCCGCAGCCTCATCCCGAGCGAGCAGAACAGGTTAACCTTGCATTGCAATGGCATGATACAAGAGCTCCCGTCTTTGAGAGAATGAGCCATAGTGGCAGAGAGGAACATTGTGGAGCTGCTGTCCTGCCTGTGCGGTTCACTCCTTCCCGGCCGCGCAGCTGTCCTGGGCGCCGATGTCTGCGCCCGCAATCAATGGCTGGTGGTGCTTCTTCCACTCCTTGATGTTGGCGTCTACCACCGCCTGGACCTCGGCGCGCAGGCGGCGGCGGTAGTTCAGCAGGAACAAGAGCTCAAACCACACAAAGAGCGGCGCCAGTACGAGGCTCTGTAAGCGCAGGCAGCATGGGGGGCAGGCAGTGGCAAGATGGCGGCTCAGAGATACACAGCGGGCGAGCAGGTCAGTTGGGGAGGCCAGTAGGCACAAGCGTGGTGCGCGGTTGCATGCGCGCAGCCGGGAGGCCAGCAGGCAGCTCATTGCACCTCCTCACAAGCCCACCTGGAAGAAAGAGTCCAGCAGCGCGGGCCTTCGGTGCTCGGCCATGTGGTGCCCAAACACGATCTGGGCAAACCAGGAGAAGGCGTGGAGGCCCAGCGCCCAGGCCCAGGCGGAGGGCACCGCCCCGCGGAACCAGTTGGCCAGGGCCCACAGCGGCAGCGCCACTAGGCCTGCGGCGAGGACGGGTCGAGCATACGAGAGGTAGGTAGCTCAGGAATGCTGCATATGTGGCGCACAGCGCGCAGACAGCATACATGGACTACACAGGAATGCCGTTGCCCTGCTCTGCCCCAGCCCATCTACCTGTCCAGGTGAGCCCCGCAAAGGGCTCTAGCATGAGGTAGTACAGGCTGTATACGGCGGTGAGGAAAAAGCTGCCATTGAACTGGAGGTACTGAGCCAGATGGGCGCAGCAGGCAGGCAGGTGCGGCGTCAGGTCAAGAACAAATGCCTCGGGCGTGTAGGCCAGCCACACTGCACCAGCGAGTGAAGCAGGCAGGATGGGAGGGCAGGTAGCCAGGGAGAGTGTATGCTGCCCACTTTTTTGTACTTTTCTGGCAGTGCATGTTGCACCACAAGCGCTGCTTGCCTGCCACCGTCCACCAGATGGCGGGCACGAAAACGAAGTGGATCAGCTGCAGCTCAGGCAGAGCAGGCAGGCGCATGGCCAGCTGGGCTCAGCAACAGGGCCGAGCTGTGCTGCAGCTCATGCAGAGCATGCGTGCACAAGGCAAGCTGTGCCCAGCAGCCAAGCACAAGCCTGGTTTATCTTGTTGTTGTGATAGGAGCCATAAAACTCGAGCTGCAAGTAGAAAGCTGCCAAAAGCGACGTCGTCAGGGGTACAGGGCCAGGATGCAGGCAGCACTAACAGCATAGGTCTCCTTGCCTGGTCCTTCAAATTGAAGTTGAACCCCAGGAAGCCCATCGTGACAGTGGTCGGCGGCACCGGGAAACGACCGGCGGCTCAGCCTCTGGCTGCAAAAAGTAAGGGCATGGAGATGTGAGCAATAATAAGGGGTCTACTTCGCAGACCAGCTCTTCATGTCAGCTCCCTAGGCGGAAGGGGTGGCTGGGCGCCTGGGCGGCCTGCCACGTGGAGCGGGCGACCGCTGCGCCGCTGGCAGTCCCCACCCCTGGGAAGCGGGGGGCTGGGCGTTCCGGTGGGCCTAGCCGGCCACTTCTGAGGAGTGCGTGCCTTGCCTGGCAGGGCAGCAGGCGAGCTCCCGCAATGTGGTCCAACCAAGTTCACCGTGAAAGCGCTGAGCTGCCGGGTTGTCGAACGCTGCTCGTGAGCGGATGTGTAAGGCTGCAGCTATGGCAGGAGTGGAAAGCTGCGAGTTGCGTTGCGAGTTCGCTCTAGGTTGCGGCAGGGCTGCACGCAATGATAGGAGTTTGTGCCGAATGCAGGCGGGGGGACCCCTCTGGCTATCATATGATCATCGACACTGGTGGCGGCGTCAGGCGGGCGGGGTGTTTGGCCCGGGTGATGCAGCCTGGGCACGAAGGCCGGCCTTGGATTACAAGCATGCGCTACAGCTCCTGTCCATCCTGCGCTCCATTTTGCCGCTGCAGGCCCAGCCGCTCGGCACGCCGCTGCTGCACCAGCGGCAGCAGCTCCCTCACCGCCTGTGCCACCTCGCCCACGTCCACTTGGGTTACATCGCCAGCAGGGGTGTCGCGGTGGCGTGAGGGGTCGGGGTTGGCTACCCGCCGATACAGCGCGCCCGCCCACTGCGCAAAGTTCTGGTAGCAGCGCCAGATGCCGTCGGCCTGCAGGCACAGAAGCAGAGCAGGGGGACGTAAGCCGGCGGACTGCAAGGACATATGGCAGCCCAAGTGAACATGGCTACGAGAAGCATGCCTGCGCACACCTGCGGCCATAACTCCACCAGCGCAGCGTGGGGCGGCAGCAGCAGCGCGTATGCCAGCGCCGCGCCGTGCATGCCGATGAGGATGTCGGTCTGCTGCACCACTGCCACCTGCTGCTCAACTGCGGCGTCAAGAGAGAGGACGGGGGATCTTGGCTTGCTGCTCTCCCTCATCGAAAAGCAAACAGCCAGCACGCAGGTGTGGGCATCACTGGCACAGCTCTAGTCACCTGTCAGCTGCGCAAAGTCCAGCAGGCCAACCGACACTGCGCTGCCGCCGCCGCCACGATCCTCATCCGCCGCCACCCTCAGCTCAGCCACCAGCTCCTCTTCATTCCCAATCTGCCGCGCCATGCGTGCCTTGCCGGGCCCCGGTCGCCGGCTGATCAACCGGATGGTCAGCGTGCTGTCACTGCGGTGGGCATCCCCCTCGGCACCCAGGCTTCCTATTCCCCCTGCCCCCGCACGTGCCACCCCTGCTCCTCCCCGTCCATCCCCGCCGACTCCCACTTTGCCTTCTACTGCTACCGAGCCCGCCGCTACCGCCGCATCCGCCTGCTGCTGCTGGTCATCCAGGCCAAAGGAGGACAGGAAGAAGCGGCGGAAGCCCGCGAAGAGGGTGGTGCGCAGCGGGCAGCTGCTTTCTTCATAGAGGTGCGCAAACAGCAGACTGGTGTAGCCGGGAGGCACAAACACGGCACGGCGGAAGACGACCGGGCCCTGCACGACAGGCATGCGGGCGGGGCAGGGCAGGCGGCTGGGTTCCTCTACCCCTGTCAGCCGTGGATAGAGGGCAGCCATCATGCCAGGTCCAGGCTGCAGCTCTATTGCCAGCACGCAGATGCAACCCCAGTACCAGCTCAGAGCCCTCCAGTCCAGGACTTGAAGCTCACCTTGAAATCAGACACCTTCCGCACCAGCAGCCTGCCATCTGGGCCGCCGACATCCACACCAACGCCGCTGTCTGCACCAGCGTCCTGCAGCCGCACATCCCAGGGGTGCGCCCCCGGCTGCTGCAGCAACTGCCGCACTGCTGGCAGCACAGCGGAGCCACCGCCCGCTGCTACCACAGGCCACAGCATGTCCAGCGGCCCAGGCGGGTGGTTGTCCAGGATCACCACCTGCCGCGCACAACTCTGCCACCCCATCACTGCCACGCTGATGTACACGTTCAGCAGATCTGTAAACGTGTGGTACACATTGGCATGCTCCCGGATCTCTCGAGTCACCAGCAGCGTGGGCACCTCCTCCACCCCAGCTGGTGCACGCGCTGCCTCCCTGCTGGCGCTGCCTCCTGAGGAGGCTGCGCCGCTGTCGCGCTCACTGCTGCTGCCACCGGCGCCATCAGGTGAGCTTCCAGGCTGGGCCAGCATGGCACCAAAGATGTCCTGGGGCACAGGGTAGCAACGACAGTGATCAATGGCGGGCTGGTAGCAGGGCAAGGCCAGGCAGATGAGGTTGCTGCACTCTCACCTGCTGGTGGTCTTTGCTGAACGCCTTGAGGCTGAAACCGGGCCAGGAGCAGTTGACAGACCAGGCGCCCGGCTCGTAGCGGTGGTACGTGGGCGAGGTGCACAGGTAGCCAGGGCGGTGGAGCGGGCAGCGGGCGCGGCGCTGCAGTTTTGGCAGTGTGGGGTGAGGATGGGTGCACAGAAGACATGCAGTTGTGCATGCAGGGCAGCTGCAGGAGCTGGGCTGCAACTGAGGCGATACCATGGTGCCACCGAAAGCAGGATGCTGCTCCTGTCCCCGTGCCCGCCCCTGACCCGCTCCTGACCCGCACCCGGCCATATGAGCAGCTTACCAGCTTGGAGGGGTCCAGACGAAGGTTGGTAGCATCGCACAACACATGCGGCGAGCTGGCGGCGGGCATGTGGGTGTCGTTCACAGATCGGCACGTCACCGTTGACGCAAAAGTCTGCAGCTGCTGCGTGGCGGAGCAAACCTGCTGCGCGGTGGTGCCCCAGCGCCGCACCCACTCCACCCCAAAGTGCTGCTCACAAAACTGCTGCAACGCCACATCCGAGGCGGCATCAGCCACAGCAGCGCTGCCGCCGCCGCTGCCCGCTGAGTTGCCGCTGCTGCCCACCGCTGCTGCATCGACTTCGCTGTCCAGGCTGCTATCGTCGGCTACGAGTGGCTGATGCTCATCGTCAGCTGATCCCGCGCTGACCGCCCCGCCGTGCCGCCCAAAACCATGGCCAATCCCATAGCCGCCGGGAGTGCGCTTGGCGGCCCTGAGCTGCTGCAGCGCGTCACTGCGCTCCGCTGCTTTTCGGTGAAAGGAACTGACGCTGAGAACCAGGATCAGCAGGCCCACCACCACCTGCAAGCACTCCCCGAGCCAGTGAGGGAGGCGGCCGAGGTTTGAGCGGCAGGAACAGCAGGCGGCAGCGGCGGGACAGCTGAGATGGATGCACACTCCATACAGCAGCAGGGATCCACCCACCCCATGGGCGCTGCCAACCCTACCAGAGCCAAATACGCCGCCTCTCCGGGCCAGGAGCTCCTGCTGCCCCGTTGCTGTGGCCTCCTCCTTCTTGGCCCCATCATCGCCTTCCTCTAGATCGCATGTGACTGGTGCAAAGAGGCCTCAGCCTGGGCGCGGTGGCCCACTTTGCTTTTTCTGCCAGCAGGGCGAGCATTTCACGCAGCAGGGGCAGATGGGGATAGCGGAGCCGAGTCCTCTTGACCACGCTTACTGGTGCATTGTTGTGTACGAGCGTGGCCATTGTGGGGCATCGCAGGTGGGGTTTCTGGCAGCCCTGGGGCCCCATGGGCTGAATACGCCGCTCGTATCGGTCACGCTCGCGTTTCCTCAGCCTTGCATCCTGCAGGCAAAGATGGCGGCCATTACCAAGCCCAGCCTGCTCCGCCTTTTCACAGCCTCGCTGGCCAGGCGCCCTGCCGCCGCCGCCGCTGCCGTCGCCACTACGGCAAGCCGTGGCACGGGTTCTGCCCTGCTGCGCAGCGGCCACGGCTGCCACAGGCTGACCCATGCGGCCCAGCGGCTGGCGGCCCTGCACGGCTCCGCGGTGGTGTGCTCTGCTGCAGGCGACGGTGCGTTGCTAGCGTTTGCCAGCCAGCATCGTGTGAGGAAACCAAACAGATATCATTGGCTTACCGCCCGTGGTGTGCCCTCATCATTCAATCAGCCGCTGCACCCCTGCGCCCTGAATGGTGCAGACGTGGTAGAGGTGCAGCTGAAGGTGGATGGCATGGTGTGCGAGGGCTGCAGCTCGCGGGTGGAGGAGGCACTGCAGAAGATGGCGGGCGTGAAGAAGGTGCGCAGGCGCAGCCAGTTGCAGCAGGGCAGCGTGTCGCGCACGTGGTGCTCCTGCCCACGTGGCATCACTCCAGGGCCAGATGTGCTGGCCGCCCATCGTGACCGCCATCCCTTCCTGCCCCCGCCTTCTCATGGCCGCAGGTGCAGGTGGACCTGGAGAAGGGGCTGGCCACGGTGCAAGTCGAGGCGGCCTCGCAAATCGATGCCTTCAACGCCGTTCAGCCGCTGGCCGAGGCCATCAAGGGGCTGGGCTTTGAGGCTGAGCCGCACTTTGGGGAGGGCTGACTGCTCCCCATGCCGCTGCCGGATGCTGGCAGTTGTGCCTAGCTCCATGGCGAGAGAGAGAGAGAGATACCTGCTCCTGCTACCTTGTGCTTACTGCTCCTTGCTTTCATTTCTTGCCAATTCAGTGGTAGCATTTGGCCTTCTGTTGTCCACTGCATTGTGTGCGCGGAACATTTCGGTAGTGGCGGCTGGCGCGGTGTGGCTGGTCGCCGGCATATACAGGTCCATGCAGCCATGTTGTCGCCGCGGGCCACCATTATGATAAGTGCAGTCGTCACAGGTTTGACAGCACCAAACACAAGAGCGCTCCGGCGCTTGCGCTCGCCAGGCGGGCGCCAAATGCAGGCAAGCTTGAGGCTTCACGGGTTTATCGTAATCGTCCTGCCGCGGCTGTACCCGGGTCTGTGCTTCCCTGCGGGGGTCCCCGGCACGCAGGTTGCCGGCCGGCGCCTTGACCGGAAAACGGAGCTGACGCTTCTTTTAGGGAGGTGCCTCCAGAATGCGGAAGACGGCGGGCGAATGCGCCCTGCTGTGGTTGATGCTGGTGGCGGCCGTCGCGCCGCTGGCCGCGGGGCGAGCGGCGCGGGCGTTACCGGGCGGGTGGGAGCCTTGGCCCTGGCACCAAAACGACACCGTCCCCGGCAGTGACGGACCGTGGGCCCACACCCTGAACGAGCTGTGGAACAGGAGCAAGGACAGCGTCGGTTTCTGCTTGGGCAGCTCCCAGGCCAAAGCGCAGCGGCTCATGGTGCGAAGTGCCTGGCGTCCCATGCCAATTGGCCCTGCCCACACATGCACGCTATACGATGTTGATCGTCCACCATGGATGCGTGCTGCTATCCACACACCGTGTGGCGCCTCCCTGCACTGCAGGGGCTCAGTTTCCCGTGGCCGCTGCCGGTGTCAACAGACCCAGCCGATGCCTTGTGCAGCAACCGCACGCGTTTGGAACAACACCTATGCAGCCCGTTGGAGCTGGAGCACTTCTACCGCTTCAACCTATTCACCGATGACCTCGAAAAGATTCCCGACACCTTGCAATGTACTGCCGGTGGTGCTGGCGATCAGCCTGCCTGCGCCCCGGGCTTCCTCGATGGATGTTTGGAGAACCGCGCAGCGCGTGTCGCCCCTCAGCAGCCCGTGCCCTGCTGTGAGGGCTACTGGTGCCCTGCAGCAATGACGTGCCTGATCCCATGGTGAGTGGCTGGTGGGTGCGGCGGGTTGGGGCACGGCACGGCGCCCCCGCCCCGCCATCTTCTTCTTCTCAACTCTCTTCTTGTCTCCTCTTCTCCTGATCTCACCGCAGCCCCCTGGGAGCCCACGGTGAGGCATTCAGCAGGAGGAGGAGGGGGTCGGGCACCGGTCAGGCAGCTGCCCATGCAACATCCAGCTCACCTTTCGTGCAAAAGTGCACTGCAGGGCCTGGCCCGCGCCGCCCCCCGACCCCTACAAGGCCTCGACCCCAGGCAAGGAGGCGCGGTGGTGTGCCCCGTACGCCTACAAAGAGAGGCCAGAGCTGGGCTGCGGCGGAGCAGACAAGGCAAGCGGGCTGCTGTGTGTTGACAGCAGCAGAAGAAGGATGCAGCCGCGCAGGAGCAGTTGGCTGTGGCTGTGTTCCTGGGCGAGCGATGCGACAGGATACGCCTGCCTGCCTGCAGTGGCGCATCATTCCCGGCGCCGCCTTCCCCACCGCGCGGTGGACGGCTGGATCGGGCTCCCTGTATTGCGACGGCGGGAGCTTTTGCCCCAACACGACCACCAGGCTGGATTGCCCACGCAGTCACTTTTGTCGGCAGGGGACTGTGGAGCCTGCGCGCTGCCCGCCTGGCGTCTCCTGCCCTCCTACCACCGAAATACCAGACTCAAATTACACAGGTGGGAGGGGCACCGAGGGGGCCGTACTGCACGGCTGGCACCTTGACACAGCAGTGCTGCTAGTGCTGGGAGCAGCCAAGCGTTTGGACGTCACAGCATCAACCCGCCGATGGCCTGTTTGTGCAGGCATCACTGTGGATGCTGCTATCCTGCTGATTTTGGGGGCAGCGTACTTGGTATCTCAACGATACAACCGTGTCCTGCTCCAGCTCAGCGCGCGGGAGCGGCTGAAGATCACGTGGGGAGCAGCGCCAGAGATTATGGTGGTGCGGGCCGCGCCTCGCGCCCGCACCCCCACGCCCACCCCAGGCTCCCGCTCCCGCACCCGCGCTACCCCTGGTGCCACGGCACCTGCAGCGGCGGGGCGCGGGCTGCCGGGGATGCTGGCACGGCGCCGCGCCGGGCACTCAGCAGCTGGCAAGGGCGGCGGTCAGGTGTGGGCGGCCTTCCGTGGGCCCGAGGCAGAGGCAGCTGCGGCCGGCTACGCGCCCCTGCTGGATGAACAGCACCTGTCATCGGGCGGCGGCGCTGGCGAGGCTGTGGAGCTGTCCCAGGCTGGAGGAGGCAGCCCTGACACGGGCAGTCCTGTGGGGACGGCTGCAGCTGGCGGGACCTTGTCGCCATCGCACGCCCGCTTGGACAGCATTGACAATGAGGATGAGATGACGCCACGCCACCTGCACACCCGCCTGGTGGCGCCACACCGCCAGTCGCTCTTGTCCAGCCCGCTCAGCAGCATCCACGCTGGCACAGGCGAGTGGAGAGGCCAGGACCAGGCAGCCAGCCGTGTGTGCCGGCCTGCCTCCCTGGGATGTCGAGCTGGGCAGCGACCGCTGCAGCCCTCTGGCCACCCTTGGCCACGCACCAATCCAAGCGACCATAGCCACGTACAGGAGTGCACAAGGGGCAGGCGCTGCGCATCGAGTTCAGCGAGCTGGGCCTGCAGCTGCGGTCTTGCGGCAGGAAGACGGTGCTGCAGGGCGTGACGGGCGTGCTGCCTGCTGGCTGCGTGACCGCCATCATGGGCCCCTCTGGTGAGTCTTTCGCTCGGAGCACGGCTCTCAGCAGCAGATTGGCCAGGGCGCCTCTCGCTTTTGCTGCTTGCACATCTTCATTCTCCAGCTGTGGGTACCGCCTGTCAGGTACCAGCCGGGCGTGCTCCTGCTCCCCCCGGCAGGTGCGGGGAAGACCAGCTTGCTCAACGTGCTGGCCGGCAAGGCACACGCGTACGGAGTGCAGGCTGGGTCCATCGCCATCAATGGCCGGCCCGACAGGCTGGAGCGCTACAAGCCCGTCATGGGCTTTGTGCCGCAGGTGGGGGGGCGCCGGTTGGAAGTTGGGCAACCTCGCCCGCCGTCGGGCAGGGCTCCAGCTCTGTCCTCCGGACCCAGCGAACAAAGCTGACTGCCTGCCGGCCGCCACCCCCCGCAGGATGACATCATGCACGCCAGCCTCACCGTGCATGAGAACCTGCTGTTCTCGGCGCGCTACCGCCTGCCCGCACGCTGCAGCCGCGAGCAGCACACGCTCTCGGTGGAGCGCGCCATCGCGGTGCTGCAGCTGGAGGACGTGCGGGACTGCCGGGTCGGCAACGAGGAGAAGCGGGGCATCTCGGGAGGGTGAGCGCTGCTTGCCCGGCGGGCGCTGCGCCCGCGCCCGCGCGCCGCCCCCCTCGACCGTGCTGGCCCCCCCGTGCGCCATCTGCTGCTTCAGGCAGCGCAAGCGTGTGAATGTTGGGCTGGAGCTGGTGGCGGACCCCTTGCTGATGTTTTTGGATGAGCCCACGAGCGGTGGGGCGGGCATCGGGCGGGTGGCAGCAGGGGCGGGGTGCACTAGCGCTCGGGGCTGGCTGCCTCTGTTCAGCGGCCCCCGGGTGCTGCCCTGGCACCCGCCTGCCTGAGGTGTGCGCGGCAGGGCTGCCTGCCTGCAGGGCTGGATTCGAGTGCCTCCAGCGCCCTGGTTGCAGCGCTGCAGGCAGTGAGCCGGTCGGGCGTGACTGTTGCCGCCGTGGTTCACCAGCCCTCATGGCAGATCTGCCAGAAAATTGGCCACCTGCTGCTGCTGGGGAAGGGGGGGCGCACAGGTGGGCTCGAAATGGCATGCACCTGATGTTCTGGGCGATGCGTGTGCTTGCCTTTGGGAGCATGGGCGTTCACTGTGGGGGGTGGGCATTCGGTGTGTGGACCTTTCAGCTGGAGGTGGCCGACTGCGAGGGTTGGGCCCAGTCAACCAGTGCCCGGGATGCCCATCTGGGGACCTGAGCCTGCTGCCCTCCTGCTGTGGCGCTTCCAGTGTACTGCGGCCCGATGGCTGGCGCGCAGCCCTACTTTAAGGGGCTGGGCTTCCGGCTCCCGGATTACCAGAATCCAGCTGATGCCTTCATCGACATCGTGAGCGGCGAGCTCGAGCGGCCTGGCCAGGTGGGCGCCGGGTGGTCAACCCCATGCAGATTCTGTGCGGCCCAGCTCTCATGCTGCCACGCCGTGTGCGCGCTGCCCGCTGCAGGCCACCGCCTTGGAGTTGTTCGATGCTTGGGATGAGCACTGTGGCCGCCCACGCAGGCCCGCGTTTCCCTCCCCGGCTTCCGGCGGCGAGGTGGCCAAAGAGGGAGATCAGCCGCCGGCGCCGGCCCCCCGCCCCAGCCGTATGGATGAGCTGCAGGAGGTGGAGGGCGGCGAGGCAGCAGAGGTGCAGGACGACGGCAGCGCACTGCTGGGTGATGAGGTAGAGCGGCGCAGCTGGCAGAGACGCTTCAGGTACCTGGGTGTGGGCCGGCAAGTGTCGGTGCTTTCCAGGCAGGGCAGGTGTGCTTGGGTGGTGAGCAAGGCTGCTGAGCAGTCTACCCATGGCCTCTCCCCTGCAGGGAGGCGGCCCTCTTCGGCGGCGCTTCCCTGGCGGCGGGGGCCACCGACGCCTGGCGGGCTGCGAAGCGGGTGCTGCCTCGTCTGGATGCCTCTCTGCCCCGGGGGCTGTTCACACGGCACGAGCACGGCCCATCGCCTGCAGGACGGGCTGACGCCGGGCAGGGAATAGGTGGGCCAGCGATTCTGTGCCGTGAAGCACGGGCGCTGGTGGCGCGGCAAGCTGCATCAGAAACATCGAGGTGCACGTGACTCGGCACAAGCCTCCCTCATGTGCCCATTGGCTGCAGGGGCTCGTGTCGTGCCAGGCTTCCTGCAGCAGTTCATCTGGTGCCTGGGGCGTGCGGTGCTGAAGCGGAGCAGGGAGCCGCTTTCCATATTTACCGACTACACCATATTTGCGCTGGCTGGTACGCCCATCTGCCTGCCAGGGCACCAGGCGAACCCAGCGCATGCCGCTGCTGCCTCACAGCCGCATCGCTCCTTGCAGGCATGACTCTGGGCCTCATTTCGGATCGCGGGCGCGAGACGATCATGCACTGTAGGTTCCATGTTTGTGAGATAGAATTGCTGGAACAACATGCAGCTTCCCACGTAGCGGCTTGCCAGCCTGTGATACCGGCGTCGTGCCTGACGGCCGCGCGTGTTTCTGTTGCTTGCAGTTGCAGTCAGCATTACGTACTCAGGTGTGACGCGTGGGCTTCGCGGCAGCATTGCAGTGCAGGACCCATCTCTGCCCCCCTCCCCCCTCCCCCCTCCCACCCCCCACCCCCCACCCACTACTGGCCTCCCAATGACCCTCTCCGTCCATGCAGTGGTTGCGCTGGGCCTGCTGAGCACAGTGGGGGCGCTGAACACGTTCAGCCAGGACCGCGTGGTCTTCTACCGGGAGGCGGCCTCAGGCGAGGGGCGGGGAGCGATGCAAAGGACGCTGGGCAACACTGTCGGCCGGCTTGTTCAGCGCATCTGCACTGGGGCGCCGCAACCTGTCGGCCTACCCCACCTCCCCCGCAGGCCTCAACAGACTGGCCTACTTCATGGCGCTAGACACATTCGGCCACTGCGGCACCGTGCTGCGGTCTGCAGTGTACTTCTCGGTGTACTACTCATTTGCCTATTGCCGGTGGGATGAAAGGGCTGAGAGGATGAGTAGGGGGGGGGGGGGGGGGGGGGGCGGGGGGGGGGGGGCACCTCTCGGGGAAATGTTTTGGATTTTGAAAGTGATGCGGTGGAATCAAAACAAAACTGCCACCCTGGATGTGCAGGGCGGTGATCTGGCAGATGCTGCTGGTATCCATTGGTATCACCTACTGCTGCACTGGGATGGCATATCTTCTGTCCCAGGCCAGTTTTTGGAGGCTGCTGGCAGTTTTGCAGGGAGAGGGCGGGAGGGCCATGCATCCTTGCTCTGCTGTTCGTGCCCTGGCTTCACCCTGCATCCTGCGCTGCACCCCCTGGGCCAGCGCAGGTGATGGAGCCCTCGGCCGCGCAGCTGAGCGCCGCCGTGCTGGCCCTGGTCAACACGCTGATTGCGCGGCAGGCCCACCCAGGCGGCCTCTTGAAGCTGGCGCAGCTGTTCAGCTTTGCGAATTGGGGCTTGCAAGGTTATGTGATTTCTGAGAGCAACAAACTGACTGGTGCGTGATGGTCTGGCCTCTTTTTTGTGCCTGGCAGGGGCGTGCGGCCAGCACATTACCGTAAGGTGTGGCCAGGCAGGCGTCTGCCATGCAACCGTTGGCTGCCGCTGCCTGGGCCTGCAGGCGTGTGGCTGCTGGCGCGCTGCGCAGACCTGCAAAACCTTCATTACGACGTGCGGCACTATGGGCTCTGCCTGCTAGCACTGTTTGGGCTGGGCCTGATGTTCCGGGTGGCAGCGCTCGTTGCCATGCTGACCTTGAATCGGGACAAGCAGCTTTGACGCACAAGTGGGGCCTACAAGTGTTTAACCAACTTTCAACAACACGCCTTACGTTGCCTGGTCAGTGATCCCACGGTTTCGAGAGCATGTTACTCTTGCAGAGACGAGCCGCTACCTCACAACAACAGTTGCACGCACGCCATGCACGCGACAGAGAGGCTGTGTGGCATTCACCACTCATCCTCATCGCTGTCCATTTGCGCCTGTGCACTGTACTTGGGGCGGGAGGCGCCACCGCTGCCGCCGCGCCCCCGCCGCGTGCTGCGCCCGTCAAAGATGATGTTGGATGGGTCCACCTCGTCGCCTGTGGGAGGTGGGGGCAAAGAAGGGGCCGGGGCAGTGCAAGCTGTGGGCAGGGCACAAAGGCATGGGGAAAGGCAACAAGGCAGGCAGATGGGAGATGCGCCAGCAGTCGGCGGCTCGGCAGTTTGTGCAGCATGTCGGCACTGCACCTGACAGCCCCTCCTCAATTTTGCCCCAGCCCTCGCCACCCTGGTCGCCAGCAACCTTGCGCTTCTTGCTGGCCGACGGCTTGCTAGGGCCCGCGCCATTATCGGCCTGCTCCCCGCCCGCCGCCGCAGCTGCTGGCTCGCCTGCTGCTGCCGGGGCCTCCTCCTCCTCCTCCTCCTCCCCTGCAGCGTGGCAGGGGCAGCCAACATGCTTGCCTGCTTGCTGGCGTAGCAGCGAGCCCATGCTGCCAGCGAACATGCCAATCCCTCTCGCAACGCACGATGGTCTGCCAAGCCACACCTGCCTCCTCTGCCTCGTCACTGTCGGCATCAGAGTCGTCGTCATCCTCCTCCTCCTCGCCATAGTCCTGCAGTGTGCACATGCAAGCACTCCACATGGAGCCGCAAAACGTAACCATCGACAAAACAATGGGCCACGCAGGCTGGCCTCGCGCTGCAGCTTCAATAGTCAAACAGGCAGCATCACATTGCCGCAGCTCCACCAGCACACACCTCCTCATCAGCATCCTCGTCGTCGTCCTCCTCCTCCTCGCCTCCTGCTGCCGGCTCCTTGTCATCGGCTAGGGGCGCCTTGCCCTTGGCTTTCCGCAGCGCCTCGGCCTCGGCCCCATCCACTGCGGACAGAGCAGCAGCAATGACACATCGACGACGAGCGTGTGGAGGGCAGGGGGCAGCCACCATGTGGCAGGGCGCTGGAGAGAATTCAGCGGTGAACACCGCCGCCGCCCCAACGCACGCCCGCCCGTCCGCACCGCCGGCGGTGATGGCCACGGCATGAGCACTGCGCCCTTTGCGCCGCGGCCTCTGCAGCCCCAGATCAAGCCTCATCTGGTGCACGCACACCTGCCGAGCCCTCCTGCTTCTCCTGCTCGGCCATCTGTTGAGCCTACCAGGTAGGAGATCGGGGTGCTGCTTGATCCTTGGTCAAGCGAGCCTCGTGACGGTATGCAAAAAGGAGCTCAATATTCCGCGGGAGCATCGTGGAAAGCAGTAATGGCAAAGAAACTCTCAAAAATGTCTGAAGCTTGCTTTCATGCTCCTTGCTTCTTGCTTCATGCCCTCTGAACCTGCATCACCCTGTTAAACAATGGCAGACCGGGAGCAGGAGCTGTTTGAGCTTGTGGATGAGGCGGGGAACACGCTCGGAACGGAGCTGAGGAGCGTGGTGCACCGAAAAGGTGCGAGTGCTGATCACAGGCAGCAGGCACGTTCTTGCGACACGACTTGATTTTGCCACCCACTGCCCCTTCCGCCGCGCAGTGCCGCCAGCTGCACCACGCTCAGCGTTTGCCGCCCCCGCTTTGCCCACACGCTTTGCCACTGCTTCACAGGCCTGCTGCACCGCGCGGTTTATGTCTGGGTTTTCCGCCCCGACGGTGCGCTGCTCATACAACGGCGCAGCCCGCTGAAGCAGATTGGGCCCGGCCAGCTGGACTTGTCGGTGGCGGAGCACCTCCAGCCGGGGGAGAACTATGTGCAGGGTGCTGTGCGGGGGCTGGCAGAGGAGCTGGGCATTGTGGTGGAGCCGCACCAGCTGCGGGGGCCGCTAGCACCCACCCACCGCCGGGAGCTGCACCAGGGCGACTTCCACGACTGCGAGCTGGTGCAGAGCTTCAGGCACGCGCTGCTGCCATTCCGCTGCGGCTTAATTTGTTTTTCAATTCCTATGCATCTGCTGAACTCTCTTCGTACTCATCTTTGCAGGCTGAACAACTATTGCGGCGGCATCAGCCTGGACGATGGCGAGGTGTCAGAAACCAAGTGGGTAGCCCTAGAGGAGCTTGCGGCAGCTGTTAACACACACCCCGATGAATACACTCAGGTGGGTCAGCACCCGGGGAGGGCGCCAGGCCAATCTTCTTGGCGATTGTGCCAAGTCCGACTGGTTGCCCTCCAGCTGCAGTGGTTTCTGGACGAGATGGTCTCACTGGACTGGTTCAGGGCAATGGATGATCAGCAGAATCCAGAGCGGCAAGTAGGCATGCAACATGCGGCGCAACCGTGCCAACCGCTCGCGCCGCAGCAGCTTCTTGGGGCAGCATGATTGTCTCGGGCGTCGGTTGTTCAGGTGTGTATGTTAAGTCAGGCATGCCCAACAACCCATACCAAGAATGGAAATGGAAATAGAAAATGGATGGGTTCCAGATCAGCCATATGTGCAGCATCTGTGAACAACGTGTTGATCACTGATTAACTTGGCAGGGCAACCCCATTTTCGGGCTCGACTGAACTCAAGCTGCGCCACGCAGCGAGTGAGCCAGCGAATGCAACTCCTATTGTTCAATAGAACAAAGTTGCTATAGAGGGAGTGAACCAACGGATCAAAGTGATGGGACATGAAAAACAAACTGGTTTGCAAATTCCTAACTGCCTCTCTCATCAAATCAACGCGCATGGGAAGCAAAGGCTGTTCTGCCATCCGGGCAGATGTGCTAGACCAGAACGTTAGGCGGCTTCAATCGGAGTGGCGATCATGCATAGCGCTTCCTGTTGGGGCACGTGGGGTATACGTAGCTACACAAGATTGGGTGGGGGTTAACAGCAACTCATGTCAGTGTTCAACATTTCGTCGCCACATTGCAACAGGCACAAGCAGGCAGGCACGCACACGAGGGGCGATCCCGCTCCCTGAGCTGCTGCCGAGTATTGTGCCCACAGCTGCCCCCACCTGGAGTAGACGCCAAAGTTTGCGGGCTCGTAGAGCGGGTCTGTCGTGGTGCACGACTGGGCGCACTCGCGGCCTTGCACACGGATGTTGCTAAGGTTGGAGCAGTCGGGCTCGACGCTGTTGCAGCACTGCGGATCGCTGCACTCATTGATTCCGCAGCCTGTCTGGCCACCCACGCAGCAGGCGCCCGCAGGGCAGCGCACTGTATTGATCGAATTGCAATCCTGCAGCACAGAGGAGAATGCATACGGCAGAATTATGAGCAACTTGCAACCTGCGACTTTCAGTGGTGGCATCAATCATTATTATTACACACACTGTTGGCGTCTGTTCCTCACCGCGCAGCCCGTGCCGTCAATCTTGCAGACTTGCTTGCTGGTGCCCTGCCAGCACTGGAACACGGTGCAGCCATTGGAAGAGCAGTAGCCTTCCTCACACTTCTGGCCGCTGGCGACGTTGGGGCAGTCGCCATCCACGCAGCATTCAGCGCACACATACGGGTTGCTGGCGCAGTACTTGCCTGCATGTGAACGCGAGACAAGATTCAGTGGGAGGGCACTTAAGAGAACAGGAAGACGCAGGGTTATGCACCAGAGAAAAGACCCCCAACACCTAGTGCGGGCCGCTGGCCCTCACCCACGATAGAAACATTCATGGTGCCGGTATTGTATCGCAGGTTGCAGTATGGCTTGGCGTAGCAGCCACCATTGAAGAATCCTCCCACCATGCTGAGGGTTGCATTGCCACAGCACTGGACGGTGGTGTCGTAGCAAACGCCACATTGTGCGGTGCCGCCTGCGTGCGAGGTCAGGGGCGCGCAAGTGGTTAGCACAGCACAGCTGGTGCTTGGCAAGCACCGGATCTGCATGATTTGGGAGCGCAGCCTGTGCTGAGCACGACACAGGAGGCATGTCCTATGCTCGGCTTCACCTGGGCAGGGGCCATCGCCACACTCGGCGCCGTCCCTCACGCAGATGTCTGGGTTGTGTGACAGCACAATGAGTTCTGCCACACAAAAACTCCCTTGATTTTTGCATTTCCAAATGCTTGAATTCGCAATCGACAGATGCAGCAGCTTCCCAGCTGCTGCCACCTTCCAACCAGCTGCCCCTTTCGTATTCGTATGTTTGCATCTTCATATTTGAAACTCCCCCAAGCTGGGTCCCAATTGGTCCCCCAATTGGGCCCCCAAAGTTCGGTTTTTCATATCGACAGCTGCCTTCCTATATAAGCAGCGCTCTTGCCTGGTCTTGGCATCTTTTCTCTCCCTTTGTGCTGGGGCGCCCCTGTGTAACAGGAGCCCGCCGCCCCAGCCCCGCCCGAAGGAGAAGGATCCTGCCGCTGCGACCAGCGCTCGGCAGTCACCCCAGCGCTCTCACGAGGCTCCCCGCTCTCACACGAAGACAAACCAGGCCGGCCGGAACCTTCTGGGCCCGCGCCGCCATTTTGCACCACAGGTTGGTGCAGACTGCGCCCACCAAGTATTCAGAGCTGCAGCACTGGACGGCTGGGTCGATGCACGTCTTGCCGCACATGGAAAACCCTGCAGTCGTTGAGCAGGGCGGGCCCGGGAGGGGTGCGATGCATGTAAGGGCAGTGTGCAAAAACAGAACGCCAGGCATTTGCACAGAAAACACGGCATCTCCGCGAGGGCGTGCGGAATGCGTGCCTGACGGGCAGACGCAGGCATTGAGGGTGCCGTCGCAGGTCTGGGCAGGGATGGTGCCAGCGGGTGTGCTGCTGGCGTAGGAGCCAGGGCACGTGATGCCCAGCGAGGGGTTCGCAGCGCAGCACTGCTGCAGCGGGTCGATGCATCTGTCGCCACACTCGATGGAGCCTGCATCACAGCATGTCGAAACTTTGTGAGGACAAACGCGGCATAGCTGACCGGCTCAGCGCCAATCCAAGCCAATTCCTTCGGGAACGCCTAATAGAATCGCCAAGGCTTCGGCACAGGCCTCCCCGGGACCCATTCACTACTAGTGGGGGGTACTGCACTTGGCGCGTCGGGCAGATCAAATAATGGTCTAAAGCTAGACGTTAAAACCGGGAAGTTAAGCCTGTGGAGGCTCTTCCCCACCTTTACCTTTACCTTTATGGGAGGGATAGCTTTGCATGCCTTCAACACAAGACTAATGCAGGCAGTCGTTGCAAGCGCAAGCGTGGCAGGCGTTGCAAGCACAAGCGCCGTCCGCCCTGGGCAGCCAACAATCATGAATATTGATGTGCATCCCAGGTAGGCCTCCCGGTAAGGATGTGCCCCATGTGTTGCCCGCTGATGTGGCACCTCCCCCGATTCGTCTGGCTCATCAGGCACGCTCTCTCCCGCGATCCCTCCCTTTCCTTCGCCTTTCAAAGTCTCTAAGGCTTCTATTTCTCCCCTCCCGCACCCCGCAGCTGCCGCAAATTTAAAATTATGAACCAACCTGTCATCCTTTATGCCTTAGAACGGCGCCAAAACGGCGCCAAGAATGTGTTTCTCACTAAGTCAGATGTAGAGGGCATCATCCGGATCAAGCAGGGCGACCAGCAGGCGCCCTCAGGCCGGCGGCGGCGGGGTGCGGGAGGGGGGGCGGCAGTGCAGGGCGGCACCAAGAACTACAGCAAGAAGGTGCTGCAGTTCTTCCAGGTGCTGAAGGGCGCTGGCGGTCAGGACATCCTGTGCCGCTGCGTCAAGCGCAGCGGAGAGTGGCGGTGGTGCCCCGTGGTGCCGCTCGAGGAGCTGCCCCGAGTGATCAAGGAGCACCACGAGCGGGCGACTGGCTTCAGCGGTGTGGAGAAGCTGTACACACATGTGAGTGATACAAGGGGTGCAATGCTGCCGCCAGACCAACTGGAGAGTGCTCTGCATCAGGC